TTTAAGTTGTCGTGAAATTCTAGTAGCTACAATGTAACACACAATTTCCCTTTTAAGTTTTCAATAAATTTTATTTAATACCACGTTAAACTATCTAAAAGTCAACTTAAATCAATTTATTTTCCTGTTCGTTTTATTTAATTGACAGTTAGGTGAGCGAAAATCTTTGCCCGAAACCTGTTCTAAACTGTTAAAATTAATAATCAATGCGTTTGTAAACTCAAACCTTTTATTTAAACAGACAATGACAAAGGTCGCTTTCGGTTCTTAATGAAATTGTCTGCTGATTGATAAATAAAAGAAATCTTTTCAGTTAGTTCTTACGTTGAATTTCTGGATTGGTAAAAAATTTAAGGGTTATTGTTTGGATTTTACCTTGGGGGCTTTAGAGCTGTTTAATACATAACTCTTTCGAATACAAAGCTTCCAAGTAACAAACGAAATGACCTATATAAAATTGGAATCTTTCGAGACTCATTTTCAGGTCATTTAAGTGCAATAAAAACGTATCCAGTAACATCTTTTTAATGCACTTTTAAATCTTAAAGTGATCAAGGCTTGTGTCAACCCCTTTGAGATACAATTTCACTTGAGGAAGCCTCCCCCCTTTAGGAAACATTCTCCATCACGAATCAGCAGCTAAGCTGTCATTTCAAGTACTCCGTTAATAAGTACGTTGATAATGATTGCAATGGAGCTGAAGGGGTTAAAGGGGATCGAATGCAAAATACCCTACTTCTGTAAAGAAAATATTGAAGAAATCAATTTATTTTTTTGGAATTAATTTTCCTAGTTAGATTTAGGTATTTAGAGAATGTTATATTAACATGTTTTTAACGTTTTCTACTAAATGTATGGGTCTACAAATTTTCTGTAAAAAATGCACTGCACTTGTGCGATAAAATTGTCATTTTTAGCTCACTTTTTTTTTTTTTACTTGTACAAATTGAATTCAATTGCATTAGTTATTCCAGAGATGCCACAAAAATCATTGTGTTTAATTGCAATGGTGTCTAAAAATATACTACAATGGATTTTATGACATTTTCATACATATATGGAATGTTCCTTTTGCAGAGAGAAGAAAGAAATTTAAATATATCCTAGAATCTGTAGGTTTTTAAGGCTTAAAAGTATCATTTCCGCATTATCTTCTCCGCCTGCAGACTGGCTAGAACTCTGAATCTCTATTACTCACTGCTGTTATCAGTGCCACTGCAGTTGATCAATCAGGGGTGCAATCTGCATACGAATTAAGTACAACAATAACAACAACGTCTAATCAGAGAAGCGTCACATGTAACAAATGTACACGTACAGGCAGAGAGACGGAATTGGAACCACAAATAAATTAAAGTAAATGCATTTCGGCTGCAGACAATTCACCCCTGGAGTGCAGAGGGGGGTGGGCGGGTGCATATGTGCACATAACGCGACAACCGACAGCAACAACGGAAATGACAACTAAAGAGAGAGAGAGAGAGAGAGAGAGGGAGAGAGAGAGAGCCGGAGAACAGGCGAAGAAGAAGATGGCAAAGGAGACGGAAAGGGCAGCTGTTTGAGAATGTCAGCATATTAAAAATAAAACAACAACAACCACCAGGATAAGGTATGACGAATAGGGATCACGCTTCCCGTCTTGAAATATATTCAAATGATGTGAGATATAAGGGTTTTTCAAGTATTTGTGAGGGTAATCACTGTATTTTAACAATATATTCTATATTTATATGTATTTTATTAATAATAAAATATCAAATATTCCCTCTCCTTTAAATTCTTTATGATTGTTTTTTACCCTTAAATTAACGCCAAAGCATAAAGTGCTTTTCTGAGAAACCTAAGCTCGTTTATTTTGCACAGGGATAAAGTATATATTCCTTGAGATCCCTTCATAAGCACGTAGCACTCTGCGTTGTAGCGAAATAAAACTGGTTTTGGTTAAAGGCAAAAATGAATATATATTTTTTTTTTAATTTTAATTATGACTTCACAAATTTAGACGGAATGGAAAGAAAGGACCGCATGTCTCTGATTCATTATTTCACTTTGACCGACAAAATATTGACTTTTGCTACAGTTTACAGTTAACAGTTTACAATGCGCATTGTATTTATTGTTATCGTTCTTTCTTAGCTTTTATCGCGCTGCTCTTGCACTTAAATTTTTTTGTTATTCATTGCGTTTTTGTTTTGATACAAAATATAGTATTTGCTGACTCAATTATTTTGTGTTTCGTTTAGTTTTCGTTATGTTTCACTGAACTGCAGCTGCCGCGGCGCTCTTTTACTTACAAAAATTGATTTTTTGCACAATTTCTCACATGTTCTTCAATCGCAGGACGCCTCAAAAAACCAACGATTTGCACTTTCAACTGGCGACTGCACTCACGTTTCGCTTTGCCAATTAATTGCTCGGCGTGTCATTCGAGCAATGGAATTGCGTTAATCGAAATATTTAATTAAACTTATTTTCCTCCCCTTCTAAACGAGCGTAGAGCTAAACATGAGCGAATGCGACGAGTGGAAAAAAAATTCTGCCGCGAAATTCTATAGCTGAGCAGGAAACTACCGCAAAAGCCAACAAAGAGAGTGGCAAACACTAAGAGAGCGCATGCCCTCTCTTCTCTTCATTACCACCCAGTTGTACTTTTCATCATGAATTCTTTGTTCTTTTCATATGGAATCAGTCAGGAGGTCGCTGCTGGTCAGAAAAACTACCGCTTAAAAAAAATTTAAAAATGAAAAATTAATTTTAAAATTAAATTTTCAATTTTTGTGAAATCATTGTAAAATTTATATTTTATTTAAATTAATATTTCTATCTATTCAAGATTGATGAAATAGACATGAACAAAATTAAAATAAATTAATACAAAATATTTTTGCACCTTAACTAATATTGCGTTTTAGCTAAATATGATATAAATAAAATTTAATATCACTTGTAAATTGTATTCTTGAATAATTTTACAACATTTTTAATGTAACCATTTGTGAAAATGTAATTAATCAATTAAACATTTCAAGTCAACAAGATTTAATTATGAGTTTAATTACTAATGATAATAAATAAGAACTTTTCATAAACCTACCTCCTACCTCCTACCTCCTGAGCGTTTCTGTATGAAAAGTAAATAGTTTTTCATGTTTACTGGGTAGTTTTCTTTGCGCAGGCGGTGGATGGTCTTTCATGCGGGGGTGAAGCAGTAACAGAAAGAGAGATGGCCAATTGCCGGCTGCAACATTGTCGCGAGAGAGCATAAGAGAGCGCTGATAAAATGGATGATTGGGAAAAGACTATTAATAAATATTTTGATAAGTAGAAGAGATCGTTAAAGAAATGTACACATTCATATGTTACATACATATATAATAGATATTTTAATACATGCGTTAAATGGTTTATATTTGCCCAAGATTTTATATTGCCTCCCCATCAAGCATTAGCTCGCAGTAACTGAAAACAGCTGTGGAAAACTGTTGTCTAGGTTAAGGGTTTCTTTTAGGCCGGAAAATTTACCGGGTGTTCTCTTAATATTATAGAGAATACTCTCTTATTGAAATTTAAAAGCGTTCCATTTATTTTCAATTTTATATTGAAAACTTAACAATCATTTTATAACCCTGGATTAATTAAGTATTATATTATTTTTATCAAATTTATAAATTGTATAGTAATATAACTTTTTTAGTTGGGCAACAAAATATTTGTTATATTTTGTTCTGATCGACTTTCGAAACAGTAAGCTTTATCATATAACCATTCGCTATCGATCTTTTATGATAAGATATTGCAAACGTCCTTATGTATACTCAGTAAGTGACAAATATGATAAGAAAAGTTTGCACAGTCAATTAGTCAGATAATAAACGTCAAGATGTTTTCACACCTCTAAATGAAGATGTATTGTGATCCTTAAAAACAACTATATTGAATTATTGAAATAAGTTTTTGTTTTGAAAATTTTTTTATGGTTTTGAGAGTGTATTAAAGTTGGGTTTATGTTTCCAGGAATAATAATAGTATCAATAAAAGCCCATTTGAGCATTTATAGTTTTATATTGAAAACAAAAACCTGAGTGGTTAAAGGTGCTTTGTTCTAGGTTAGAAACAATTGCACTCATGGTATCTGAATGAGGTATTTTTCAAATTAATACAAAGTTATCATTACATTAAAAAAACATAAAGAAAGTTAATTTTTGCTTAGGATAATTAATATAATGGTAGTTTATTTTTAAATAAATTGAAAATTAATTTTTTGTTTAATTTTTACATTTTACCCATGTACACATTTATACATAGTACGTAGAGAAGATCAGTTAGGACAACAACCAATTTGGCTGTGTGATAATTTACTGGTTGGGAAAAACTCTAAGTTTTATGGTCATTTTTCATTGCTATAAATATATTAAAAAACTTTAATTATTTATCAAACATCTTTGAAAAGATCAAATCCTTAAAAACTCATAACTAAGCCAAAAAGTATTTATTTTAACTGGGAAAGCTCTCTCGTGTTGGTTTTTATTAGGTTAACAAATCTGCATACTCCATTTAAAATTTTAGAAAATTCAATTTTTTTGATCATTTTTGATCATTTTAACTATTATAAAATTTTGAAAATTTCGAAAATGTATTTTTTTTGACTGGAGATGGCTAGATTGACTCGCCTGTCGATACTGATCAAAAATATATATTATTTATAGGGTCGGAAATGAGTCCTTCACATAAGTACAAGCTTTTGACCAATATTATAATACCCTGCAATATTATTAATTATAAAAATGACAATAATTTATAGTTAGCTATGGATTTAGCTATGCATTTACTCGGACGGACCCTTTTATTTTTAGTACTGAAACTGGAACCCCAATAAAAATACTATTTATGTTTATTATATCAATTTATTTACTTGACTTACTACAATTATTTCCGGTTAGCCCAATGAGACTAATGCTAATCCAAGGCACTTTGTTTGCGCGACATATTGAACGCCCTAATCCGACAGACTATAAAGTTTATTAATTCATTTCTGATGACAATGTTATTTTCCATTCATTTATTATGCCAACTGCAGGCAGACATTTTGTGTAAATATTAGCATTATTCCCGTGTCAGAAAATCAGAAAATAAAATAACGAGTCACAAGCAAGCGCCCAGCAAATAAGAATTTGACTGGCTGACTTGTGTGTGAATTAATATAAAATAAAAAAAATCAACAAAATTGTTTTCTGCTCTGAAATTAGAGACCACTGAAGATATGTTGCTCTATAATTGTGCCTAAGGGAAAATATCTGCTTTGGATATAACACAGAAAACTAAATTATGGCTTTTCCCTTTTCCTTTTGTCGGATTGCCTTTGAAATTTATGTACAAAGAAATGCGAAATTTAAGGTTTAGCTGGAAAATTAGCTTAATAATAACAGAACAAATGTGCTTAACTATTAATATCAATAAATTTACATAGTTTTCTTATCCTTAACTCATTGAGGTCAAAACAGAAATCATTTGAGTCTCGTTTGTCGATAAGTACTAAAGTTCCCACTTAAATGTAACTTATTATATTAGTATTTGTACAGGATATACAAATTATATGTTTTTCTATGCTTCTTAAATAAACATTTAGTATTTGTTGACATTTAAATGCTTGCGTCTTAGGCTACAGATTATTGATTATATTCTGTGAATTTCTAAATATGATTTGTTCAGACTATTCATTTCGCGTGTGTATAATCGATATTGAATCCTATGGCTACTTGAAAAGCTCTCTCGTTTTGTTTGCGTCTATATCACCCAGTTACCTCACTATAAATATCACAAGGCTCCGTTGCAACGGATGGGGGATTCAAGAGGACTACAGGAAGGAGCAGCACAGGATCAGGACGAGCACAGTGATGGGGAAAAGGGCATAGATCTCACTACGCGGATGGCAGGTGGATATTAAATTGGTTATATCATCCTCCTCATGCTCGATGCCATCTCGCGTGGGAACCTCAACCACCACGATCTCATCCGATAGGAAACTAATGTTAAAAGTGCAATTTGTGGTATTCAGACAGCTCTGGGACTCGCTCAAATTAGAGTACTGATACGTCGGTTTATATATATCAAATATGGCATGGATCTCATTCCGCACATGATCATTGTCGCTGTAGAAAATGTAATAGTAATACGCATCATCCGTGACATTGTGCACGGCCAGGGAGCTCCGATTGCTAAAAGTATCCATAACATGGGGATTGGAGCACTCGTTGCTCGGCCGAAAGAACTCCTTTAGCAGGATCATTCCACTGAAGCAATCGAGTAATCCCGTCTCAAAGCTGGACACCGAATTGGATTCATCCGTTTCCGTAAAGTTAATGGCATTACCGCCATGAACATACTTCCTATCGTAGACATTCTCCCGCTTGGTTCTCTGGTAGAGTTTCTCGTAGAGCTCTTGCCTCCTCTGATGAGCTTGGGTTCCTGCCATGTGTCTCCTTGGGCGATCTCGATGGGGTTCCTCGTGCGGCTGCTCATCCGTAGCTCCATCTTCTGAGTGATGCTGATGTGTTGCCGCCTCAGAATTGTGAATATGATGATGATGACCATGCTCAACGATCTGTGCTCCAGTGTTTTCCATTCCCAAGTGCACATCGTGATCGTTATGATGAATGGTGCCCTTTTTCAGTTTTTTCCTTATCAGTTTGGGCGTTGTTCCTGTACTAATTGGCTTTGAAGATATATTCACAGAAAGTTGCGCATGATCCTCGCTCAAATCCTCGCCTCCATGATTCTCATGTTCCATTAAAACATCCTGATTGCTCTTCTCCTCGGTGATCTCCACATTATCCTCGAAGAACACCTTGACCTCTTCATGAACATTGGGTATTTTGGCACCCATTTTGTTCTTATTGTGATCGGTGAGACCGCACAGGTTAAGCTGTCGCTGACCCTTCACGATAAGGATGCGTGAGCCATCGTAGCGGGAACAGAACTTGACTCGAACATTGGCTCCTTTTAGCAGGAAGAAACCCCAGTACTCCAGGGTATCATCGGCAGGGTCATTGACTTCTTCAGCCTGATGTGCTTGCGATTTGTGGAAATCTCGGGCTTATTACGCAGCTGAAAGGCATTAAAGTTGGAGTTCATTCGCAGAGTGTGCTTTGAGCAAAAGATTGACGATATTCCAGCACGAATCTCAATAATGTCCGACTCTGCCATGGGATAGATAACGTCCGCGAATACAGTTTTCCGCAAATGCAATGGCATAATGATCAGAACGGCCGGCAGTATCACAATCATCAGGCAAAAGATTAGCACCCGCTTCACTCCGTGCATCTTGCGGGTTTCTGGAAAAGAGTGTGGAAAAGAAAACATGTATTACTATCAGAATCAGATAAGTTAAGGGCCTGAGATATATATATATTTTGTTTATTTTAACCAATCCCCAAGTGTGGCACCTTCAAAGTGATATTCCGTCAGGGGCTGCATCTTGGTGGCACAGGATTTTTCGTTGGAATCTGTGGAAATTACTCGCGAAAATAGTACGTCTGATTGCCAGCCAGGCTTGTTGCTCACTGCCTTGATTGTGCGATTATCAAATTAGTCTGGCCGGTCTCTGGTCTCAGTTTGATTTCACGCCTACCGCCTCCTCCCTGCCTGCCATTGCCTTTTTATCTGGCTAGCCTGAGTATTTGTGAGAGGCGAGATTGTATCAACAATGCGCCACGAATGTTGTTATTTGTTCGAGTGTATAACTAAGCTATTCACAAGATTCAATTGGCAGGCTCGAATCGATCGATCGGATGGCCCAGGCAAGTGGGCAGTAAGTGACAGCCTCTGTTTAATCGATGGTTAGCGATCCACGACTCTGGCTCATTCTCTCTTTCCTCCCACCGATTTGGTTTTTGCGGAAAGATTTGCTTATCATTTGTTAACTAACTTAGAATCGAAACAGGAGCGGACTATGATTAAAAGGGGTTCTTATTCAGTACAGTGGATCTTTAAATCTTTATCAATTGAGTATAAAAATATTACCAGACATGTCTAAGATCTTTACTCTTTACTCCTTATTTTATTATTTTCCCTTACTTATAGAACCTCGTAATCTGACCTGGTTACGCATAGCCAATATAATACACAAACCTTATCGGGGGGCCTTTGGCTAATTACCGACTGCCTATTGATGGCAACATTGATAAGCCATGTTTTTCCTGCATGAAAATGCTGTTAATATTAGCCAGTTGTTATCGACGACAACGGGTGAGTTGAGCGATCATGAACAGCTATATATAATTTTATATATTGCTTAGCAAATTTATAACCCACACGAGTTATTTTTTATTTGTCACGTTTTTGTCGAGTGCTTTTTGAACCCGAGCATTGCATAAACAATATCTCTCCTCTCTCTGCTTATCAACTAAATACTCATTGTGTGCCTTGGCTATAAGAGAATGCTTAAGAAAATATAATCAGTTATACAAGTGAAAGTATAATCATAAAAAGCATAATAAGCACTGTCTTCTTTAAGTAAATAAAATATAGATTAAGTGTGAATTAATGTAAATTGAGTTGCAACTCAAAGTGAATAAAGAGAAACAGATTTTTGATATGTTTGTGTATTTTTTCTATTATTTATTTTAAAAAGTAAATGAGTGGTTAATTAATGTATTTTAACATAAAGTTTCAGTAATAAGATAATAACTAAATCTAGCAGAGTGCTTAAACTTTGATTTAATGCAAGTAACCTACATAACTCAGCTTTAAATTTTCTTATTTGACTCACATTAAGCTGGCCTAGTTTTTATTAATTTTACAACTACCTAAAATGCTCGATAGCATTGCATTTACAAGTTCTTATATATATAAATACCAATCTGACTCTTTGTCAGCATTTTCCGGATTTATATATTCTTTGTCAGGGCTTTCCCAGGTTTTCCCCATGACAAAGACCCACATCTGTGGACTTTAAATAATGCCATAGGTCGGGCATTATTCTGGTTTTCGCTTTTGTTTGACATTTTTCACAAGTTTACATATAATTCATATGTTTTCTTTGAAAAGCAATAAAAAAAACCTGTTGTTCATATACTGAAAATCATTTTTGTTTTATCTTTGAATATTTTATATGCACTTCTTGAAGATATAATATTTATATTTATATTATTTACACATATGGAGGGGTGCTGGGGAAATTGATTTTGATTTAAAATTAATTTAAAAATTTGCTCAAAGGAGTAAAAAACAAATTTTAAATCAGAAATTGTTGTTAAATTGTTTGATTTTATAAAATGTATATTAAATTATTATAATTCCAAGCGATTTCTGTGGAATACCTGGAATATACATATATAAGAAACTTTTTTCAAAACGAGCATTGTATTAATAACTTTATGAAGGTTATCTTTATTTGTAAGCTATATTTTCTGTCAGTGTGGATTTCTTGTTTTGCCTAGACCGAGGAAAACCTTGGCATTTTCTTAGCCGGTCTTGTTTTTTCGGGGGTACCGAAATGTAACACACTTTTGTGGGATGGTCTCGGAAAATGCCTTTGAAATGCTAGACCCGCTGCAAGCACCTGTGGAGGTGTTTTTCCCAATTGCTTTGGCTTTCGATTACCTGGGCGTGGGAATCTTGTCAAATTTACACATTTGTTTTAGATAGTTGCTGTTGTTGCCTCTATTTATCGGTGGCCACTTACATTCTTCTGTCTTTCCAATAGCTGCACTATATATATATTTTTGGGATTAGCGCGGCAGCTGACGTCAAAAGGTGGTGGTGACAAGTTTGAATTTTTCAGTCAGTTGTTTAATTCGCATGTGTCTTTGTTTATTAACTAAGTAGCTAAGCTGAGCAGATATCCAAAATTAGACGGCATTGCACGTGCATCTTCCCATGATTTATTATCAATAACAACTGTTTTTTCCATTGCTCGGCGGTTGTATTTTGACACACATTCTATGCAATCTAATCAACAACTGTGTTGTTGTCGCTCACTCTGTCTCTCTCTCTCTTAGTCTCTCACAGTCTCCTCTCTCTCTTTTGTCTAGTGTTAACACTTTGTTTTTAGCTCTGCTTCCGCATATCTTTTGTTTGGTTTCAGATTATATTTATATTTGAGGCATTTTTTATTATTTCTTATTTCACAACGGGCACCATCTTGCTCTTGCTAATTTTTTTAATTTGGTTTAATATTTATTTGTCATTATTATTACGAAATTGTGCATCGCGGCAGTGCAAAAAAAACAAAGCAATGCAGTCTGTCAGAAACGTAAATTTTAACTCCAAACAACAGTGAGGTTCAGATACAAATGCTCGCTCGCGTTCTCTGTTTGTGAGCGAACTAAAAGATACTCTCACGGAAAACTTCCACTGCCATGAAAAATTAAGAGAAATGCCGTTATTATTTGTGACGTGAAGTTGGCTGTGATTGAGTTGGTTGCAAATCGGCTATCTGTGTCTTTGCTAAAAACCAGTTTTTAATTAATTTTTGAGACTGTTAATAATTATTAATAGGAAAACTACTAGAAATAAGATATTTTCATGTTAAAAATTATAATAATAAAAAATAATATAATAACTAACACAACTCTAGTAAAAATATATTCATTTTTTAATAAATATTTTTATAATATAAGCTCCAGGGACATAAACATATAATTATATTTAAAATGTTCCTAATATTTGTATAAAACCGAAGAAACTACATTGCGTAATCGTAATCTATTACCAATCATTGATAATGATCTTATATCTTATTTACCTTATCTTATCTTCTCTTAAATAAATATTTCTTCACTTTTAAATTATATATACAAAACTTCAAAAATATAATACCAAAATATTTATTAAATTTCATTCGTTTATTTGTTTATTGATTAAGAAAAGATTTCCTGGATTGTTTACGAGTTCAATAATAACAATTATTTGTAATAGAGAAAACCATTTAAAAATAAAGAATATAAATCATAAATAATATTTAAATCAATGTACCAGAGAAAAGCATTTGATATGCACAAAAGTGAGAGGACAGATTCTAATCGGCAAGTTAAATATCTTAATATTAAAGAAAAAATCGGATAAAGGAAGATTGCACCGAAAACACTTCATCACACTGACGCTGAATTTAATAATATTTATTCGATATTAAAATCAAAACAACTTACTATGCAAGTCCGGCATGGAGTAGTAGAAATCCGTGTGATAATAATGCAATTGTCCAGGACTAATGGAGGTAGTCCTCTTGAACATCTTTTTGTTGGCCATTCTGAGCAAGGACTGTGAATCCTCCAAAGGACTTGGCGGAAGTGAAAGTAGAACCGTAGCGAGCGAATAACCGGAGTGAACTAACCGCAGAAATATAATCCGAATGAGGAGGAACCATCCGCGGATAACGATGACGCCTAATCCAAACAGACGTCGGCCTGTCTGTCCAACCGGAGGCCTCATCTGAAGTGAGACTGATACAGAAACTGGCACTGATACGAATAGCTTCAGCCTATTATCATAATGAATTAGTAAACAGTGCTATAAAGTCTACTGAACATGCAGTCAACCCAGCCATTCAATTGATAGGCGCTTAATTGTTATTGTCTGGACCTAAGCACACCCTATAAATATATGAATATCTCTCTGTGGATGTGTTCGATATGTACCTGGCAACAATAATGTCTATCACACCTCAATTGGAAATGTTTAACAAGCGTGTGTTTGTCATTCTGCAGAACAGTATCAAGTTTCCGGAGTTCCGGCTCCGGAAGTTGCTCTAGATATGAGTTTAAATTGAAAAAGCCAATTAAATCAATATCTATATTCATCACAAATTATTGTAATATATAAGTCTTTAAAGCTAAGCATTATATTTATATTAAGCAGTCATTTAAGTTTTAAAGATGTGAGTTTTTTGGCGTGAAATGACTTTGTGATTCGATGGCATGTTTCAATGTTCATTTACAAAAGATATTAGAAAAGTAACACGACTTCCACTTTAACAATACATGTCAGATGCTTCCTATCAACCGAGTTTCATCAGTTGCTTTTTGCTATCTATCAGATACACAAACAGTTAGGTGACACCTGTCAGCGTCATCTGCACACAGAGATAATAATCGCTGATTACGGCAGTCATCTTCAGATCCTCGTATCAAGTTTTTGAGACATTAAATAAATGAAAGATTTATGCTTCCAGTGTATCTTATCTAAAGCAATTTCCTTTATTTGCGGAAAGTTTTACATGAAAAGTGCAGTCGAAGGGGAATTTCAGCCAGGGCCTCAGTGCTCCCAGGTGATCCAATGGTTACAGGTGTGGCAAAGGTTGGGAAAAGGGGCCTAAAGGAATTGGTTTTTTGAATCCTTATTCTTTGGGATAGAGACTTGCACCTTGATTATTTTTTTCTACACTAGTTTCCATATTTTGATCATTGTTCTGACAGAGTTTTTTAATGAAATAGTGAACAACTTGGCCTAATTGTTAATTATTTTTGCCACGAAGAAACGAGGCGAATAGAAAATGTTTCGAACAAGTTTCTCACTAAACTTAACTAATAAGTTCTTGAGTTTTCTACCTAACCAAAGTTTCTCAATTGATTAGTCACGAATTATCTAGAAATCATGGTAAAATCACTATGAAATTAATTTTCCTCGGTTCACTTCAATGGTTCGTTGAAAGGTTTTCAAAGTTAGTGATAAAACGACAATGATGCGGTCTCTGGCAATATCTTGCAAAAGATATTTTTGGTGCTTTGCTCTTCTATTTGTAGTAATCGTGTGGAAAATACTCTACTACAAAGATATAGAAAAGCTTAAAGGTAGCAATGGGGAAATGCACAAAAACGACAAAAGATTTTATGTGAATTCCGCCAAATGTCAGATGCCGTATGTGGATCCCTTTAATGCCGAAGTTATGAAAGTATATAAGCCGATGCCGTTTATACCCTGCACCAATAAAAGTGACTTAATTACGGTGCACTATGACAGTTTGTACAATCGGTATGTGCTTCGCATTAACGATGAAGTAATTCATGAAGAGTTGGGTGAGAAAGCCATTGCCTGCTTCTATCAGAAAATTATCTACGGTCACAAAGTGGATGAATTCGATAGGTAAATCTGTGCCTTAACTAATATGAGAAGTTTCAAGTGTAATAACAAATTTTTGTTAAGCAAAGTATAGGGAATAGAACTCGTTTCTATCAAGACTTTATGGTACCCATTGATATCGAGGGAATGCTGGTGGAATGCACGACGGAAGACGGCCAAGAGTTCTGCAAAGGGATGCATTTGTACTTGTACAATACCAAAAGAAATCCAAAAGGCAGCCTCGGAAATCTGAGACAGATCGTCAGGCTAGTATTATCATGTATGGCATAGATACAGTCTCAAAGACTAATCTACGTCGCACAATGCCCATGGTATACGAGTTCCTAAAGTCACCGGGTTGGTTCGAAATGATGGGTTACAATAAGGCAAGTCTTATCATTAGAATTTCTTCAATGAAGCATTAATTAATGTTACCTTTAGGTTGCTGATAATTCGTTTCCCAACATATTTGCCATGCTAACTGGCTATTCACCGGAAATGGCGAAAGATCAGGTGTGTGACACTGATCTCGATGGATGTTTGGATAAAGTACCATTCATATGGCAGGAAATGAGAAAAGCTGGTTACTTGACAGCCTATGCAGAGGATGAGGTAATTGCAAATACTTTCAACTACATGAAGCCGGGGTTTTCTGTGAAGCCCACAGACTACTATTTCCGACCTTTCCTGGTCGCTTTGGAAAATCACACAGAGACCAAGTACTGTCCGGATTGTCAGATGAAGTACTGTCTGGGTCGGCGATTGGCCAATAGTTATATCTACGACTATTGCCGCCAGTTTATGCAACGTTTTGTGGCCGATCGACCGATTTGGGGCATGTTCTGGTCCAATCATTTCAGTCACGATAACGTTTTTATGCTCTCGGCCATGGAGCACAAGGTTCTGACCGATCTTCTTCATTTCGAAAAGGATGGGCCTTTGAGCACACTATTATGATATTCTTTTCGGATCATGGTGCTCGATTTGGTCCCTTGATGCAGATGAAGGAGGCTTTCCTAGAGGAGCGAATGCCTATTATGTTTATTTACTTGCCGCCTTGGTTTCGTCAGAAATATCCCACATATGTGGTGCTCTAGAGAAAATCAGGATCGGCTGAGCTCCAATTTTGATGTCTACAACACGCTGAAGCATATCCTGGACTTGGGGGGAGTGGCAAAGGGTTGGTCCCACAGCTGCCCCCAATGCCAATCGCTTCTGCTGCCACTGCCCGAGAACCGCAGCTGCTCGGAGGCAGCGATCACCGAAGCCTACTGTACCTGCCACAAATACGAAGAGGTCAAAGAGCAAGACTGGACCTGGCGTATGGCCAACCAAGTGGTGGAGCGAATTAATCTGTATCTTTGGCAGCACAAAATGCAGCAACGTTGCAGCAATCTTACCCTGCGAGTGGTCAATGCCACTGAGCAGAGAGTGGATAATTTGGATGGGGATTCCAATTTGGCAGGTGGACTGCGTTATTACCACACCAAGTTCCAGGTGCATCAGAATCTGGGTGAATTCTTTGCAACCACGCGGTATGACAGGAAGACGGAGGCCCTCGAGCTCAAGTGGAGCTAATTAGTCGCACAATATGTATGGCAATGATTCTGAATGCGTTCACGATAAAATTGTTAAGCTATATTGCATTTGTCTGGACAAACTGTGGACTGAATCTATGAGTTAAGGTTTTTTTTATAATAGTTATTAATATGAATTAATAAACATTCTCTATTTACCCCGGAGGGTACAACAAGAATCTTGCAACTCAAATGGCAAGCTGTGTCTCTGCCTTTCTCTCTCTCTCTCTCTTATATATATATATATATATTATATATATTTTTATTTATGGAATGTCTATCGCTGTCTTGCATCTCAGAGATACCTCTTTCTCCCCTCTCTCTCTCTCTCCTCTCTCTCTCTCTGTGCACTCTAGAGATGCCTCTTTCTCCCACTCTCTCTCTTTCTCTGAGCATCTCTCTAGCTCTCACTTTCTCTGTTCTCTTAACTCGGTGACTATAAATAGAGGCACTAACGGCCGCGCTAGCATCATTCAGTCCGCGACTTCCGGAGTGTTCACATCAATAGTGATAGTGATTGTGATTGCCCTACGACCCCACATAAATTCATTAATATTGATTTTGGGTAAATGAAATATATTTTCAATTTAATAAACTAACTAAAGCTAAAGAAAAACTGCTGTTTCTTCAGTCCTACCTTTTAGTAAGAGGAAATAGGCAACACTTTTTCATTTCATTTATTGATTACTATTAAGAAGCATATCTGAAACAACTTCGAGTTCTAAAGAAATGTGATGTTGTCATGTGCCTGACCTCTCCCAAGATATGATAGTTCGATCAATTCCGTACCTCATACTGGGTCTCCAGCTACCTATACCTTCACATCTGCACAAATACAAACGTTATGATAAGGCTGCACGTGTCTTCTATTAACGGAGACTTTTAGTCGGGACACCCGTTCGGCGTTCGATTCAGTTGATTGTATTTGTGATCGAAGACACAACATGGAGTGCGATTCCGAACCGCCCATCCGCTCTATAATTACTGGACTTTGCTGCCTACTGCTAGTCCTGGTTACTTTATTCACTTTGGCAGTGAAATGAACTCTGAGAATGAATTCATTCAACTCTCTACCTCATCGCGATCGCGAGTTTTGCTCATGACAAAACCGAAACCGCAACAGTATTTTGTGAATACCTCCAAGTGTCATATTCCCTTTGTGGATCCCTTCAACATGGAGGTTATGGAGATATATAAGCCGCAGATACTGGTCACTTGCTCCAATGAGACTGACCTAATCTCGACCGAGTATAACTCTCGGCTGCAGCGATATATCCTTCACATTGACGAGGAAGTTGCCCAGCAATTGATGAACTTCACCGAATCGGAGTATAATTGCTTCTACCGTGAAATATTGTATGGGAAGAAAGTAGATAGCTATGACAAGTAAGATATTGGTGAATCCCCCCCAGTCGCTAAAAATACGCTTCACATTGCTTCCCATCGCACAGTCTCAAGGCGATTAAGTACTTACCGATGGCTATGTGGTGCCGGAGCATGTAGAGGGTATGGTTGTCGAATGCCACACGGCGGAGGAGCCCAAGGTGCTCCTCCAGAAGGATGCCTTCACCTTTGTCCAGCATCAGCCGTTGCCCAGGAATCTGCAGCAGCCGCTTGCCGCCCGGAAACCCATGTGATTATGTATGGCATAGATTCTCTATCCCGCATTAATCTGCGACGTACTATGCCCAAGGTTTTTAGTTTCCTGCAAAGTGATGGTTGGTACGAAATGCAGGGATACAATAAGGTGAGTTGGGATCACAAGAAAGGATACTAGAGAGCTAAAATCAATCACTATGGGGTATTTGAGTACTTAGTTTAAAGAAGCTATTGAAAAAGAAGAGACTGCATTTTCACATAGTTTGTTGAAAAGATAAATCAATAGATTCATAGAAAACCTTTGTTTATCACAAGTAACCTTTTTTCGGTTAATCTTATATACTTACTGGGATAGTTTATTTATCACAAGTAACTTATTTTCCGGTTTAATCTTATATACTTATAGATAAATATATAAAACTATTTGAAATGATTTCGAAACTCAAAAAAACGGAATTATGGATAATAATGTAACAAAAATATTTGCCTAAAGCGTTGGCATTTAAATAAATAAAAACCATTATTCCCACCTAAAGATAGCAGCACGTGTGTAGATCGTATATACTTTTTTTATTGATTTTATGCATTTACACCTAGACAGAAGACAAATAGTTACTCGACAGATATTTGTATAGTTAAAAAGAGCATACAGGAAGTTCACAAAGTTGTATATTGTTTCCAAGCATCTGTACAAACCAAACGCTTATGGGTAATAAGTAGAATTATTTTGCAGGTTGGCGACAATTCGTTCCCAACATTTTAGCCATTCTAAGTGGCTACTCGGTGGAGGCGGCCAAAGAGCAGCTCTGCGATACGGACAAAGCGGTTGCCTGGATGAGATGCCCATGATATGGAAGTACTTTAAGAATGCCAGCTACCTGACTGCATATGCAGAGGACGAGAGCAATTCGAATCACTTCAATTACCTGAAACCAGGATTCTCAAAGAAACCCGTGGACTATTACTTCCGGCCCATGTTGAAAGCTCTGGAGTCTGAAATGAAGGTGTATCGGTTACCGGAACGTGATTATATGCGATATTGTCTGGGCCGTCGGCTGGCAAATCGATATATCTACGATTATGGGCAACAGTTTACCCATAGATTCGTACAGGAACGTCCCATTTGGGGATGTTCTGGTCGAATCACTTCAGCCACGACGATCCCTTTCTGCCCTCCGCATGCAGGAAAGGTCCTAGGCGATCTGCTTGATTTCAAGATGGAAGGAGCATTCGAGGAGATGATCATGATCTTTTTCGCCGATCATGGTTCACGCTATGGAAAATTGACAAGGCTAAAGGAGGGATTCCTTGAGGAGCGGCTGCCCATGATGTTCATATATCTACCGCCTTGGTTCCGTGAGACATATCCCACATATGCACGGGCACTGGAGTTGAATCAGCATCGATTGAGCTCCAACTTTGATTTGCACAATACACTGAACACATTGTCGAGATTGGCGGTACACCGGATGGTCCAACTTTGCCCAAATCCTTCGATTGTCCCACCTGCCAGTCCCTGTTCTATCCACTGCCCGAGGATCGATGCTGCGAGGATGCGGGCATCGAGGAACATTATTGCACCTGCGAACCCTACATTCCCATCAGTGGCAAGGACTGGACCGATGATATTTCCAAGAGCGTAATCGATCGAATGAATGAGTATTTTGTTCACAAGAATCTCAGCAAACTGTGCAGTAATCTAACGCTCACTATGTCCATAAAACCGAGATCAAGGCGAGTCTGAAGAGAACCAGCTTGTATGAAGATCTTGGAGAGTTGGAGACGGCTGTCTATCGGGTTAAATTCAAGGTTTACCAGAATGTGCCGACTTTCAGGCCACCGTTGTCTATAATAATGTCACGCAAAATGCTGAAGTTAATGTGGAAAAAATCAGTAGAACTAACTCCTACAAAGGGGACTCAGCCTGCATCGATGACAAACTGGCCAAACTTTACTGCATTTGCTATAGTGCCATGCTGTAGGAGTCTCTAATAAGAACCTAATAAATACTACAAATAAATAAATATAGTATACAATGATGGTTTGCATTTGCCTTAACATTACTCTTGCATTTAATTAAGAAGATATTGTTTTGAATCAGTTTGGATTCCTTACTCATTGTCTCGTGAAGGATAGTTTTTACTCGATTACTTAATCTAATATAGTTATAACTTCGTCTACATGGAAAATTTTATATTTCGTATTAATATTCTTGAAATAATATTCTTATACCATTTCTGTATTATCTTATCGATTTTCATTATGATCCTAAAGGATATTTATCTTTGGTTTCTGACCGTTCTGTTTAATACTAAAGCTCGTTGTGTTTTTGCTTAAGCATGCATCTATTAGTAATGATTACTATAATGTTTATTCTTTTAATGTGATGCAATTAATTAAAACAAATAATTGCTCAGCAGTCCGACAGCTTTGAAGGTAAAAACAATACCTAGGAACTAAAGGTTTCAATACCTGGTCATAATGGCTTATACAAATTGATTTTCTGTATCTGAACAACAGCTCGTCTCTGAATTCTTGACCATTCTCATCAGATACTCGGCGGAGGCAGGCTCTTCTACTTCCGGTTCCTACTTCTGAAGTGAAGTTGTAACGAAGTACGTTTGGAGCAATCTATTTGGGTAATATTCTAATCGAATCACTTCAGTATCGAACATTCTTTTGTGCAAGGAAATGTCGTAGTACCAAAGTCCTTCCTCAGTTTGATTTATTTTCCATAGCGTGAAAATTGACCCTGCTGAGGGAAAGCTTGAAGATTGTGAAATGAAGTTTATTAGTAAAAATTTCCAGCAGTAAAAAGTACTGAACCGATTATTATCTTCCTAAATAACACAGTGTGCTTTGCTCTGTAAATCTAAAATAATTAAACAATTCAAATAAATACAAAAATGTTTCGATACTACTTTCGCACGTTTTTCCTATGTGTGGGACTTTTGCTACTATCTTTTGTTCTCATAAATCAAAAACAGAATGTCTTGGACCACAAATATGTAGCTATATCCCGGAAAATGTATATACAATCCACAACGAAAATTGTTGCAAATGAAAGTAGGCAAAGGACTACAGAGAGTCTTGTGAAGGAAATGCCATCAAGGTTCTTTGTATTTAGTCCGCAATGCAAGATTCCAAAGGTTAATCCGTTTGACGAAAGTTTCATGGCGTGGGCACGGCTGGAGTTTCAGCATTGTGCAAAGGAACCACCTTTGGTCAGCGCTATCTATGATACGAATAAAGACAGTATAGGCTTCATTTGAATTCCAATGTGGCCTTGAAATACTTTGCCATTATGGGAATTATGGTTGTACCTACGAGGAGGTGTGTCCTGGACCGAATGATTCATTTGCCTAGTAAGTATTTCTGTAATTCTTTTTCTCTCGAGGTTTAAATGAGAAGCATTGCATTATTTTGCAGCTTAGAACCGCCAGAATATTTCACTCAGGATTGGCTAGTGCCAAAGACCTTTTTCGGAGTGGTTGTTGAGTGTCACGAGATGGCGAACAAATCACGGATTTTGCAACGTGATGCCTTCTCCTTCATCCAGTATCCAAAGAATCGCAATGAGGCAAATGACGCCAAGAGGGCCGCCAAGTATCCCAATGTCTTCCTGTTCGGAATCGATAGCATGTCTAAAATGCACTTCCATAGGACCATGCCACGTACCTCCAGGTTCGTCAGCCAAGAGGGATGGTATGAGATGGAGGGCTTTAACAAGGTGGGCGACAACACACTCCCCAATTTGTTGGCTGTTCTCACGGGTCGAACTCCCAAACAATGGAGATTTAAGTGTGATGTGAGGCTGGCGGGTTGCCTGGACAGTCTCACCTATCTCTGGGATCACTTTCGACACGCGGGTTACCTAACCGCCTATGCCGAGGATCTTGCCACTATTTCCACATTTAATTACATGAAACATGGCTTCATCCGTCCGCCGGTTGACTATTACTTGCGGCACTTTCTGATGGTCATTGAACAAGTGGCGGAGACCAAAATGCATCAAGGACAAATTTATTGTGTGGGTCGAAGGCATAGTTTTAGCTACATTCTTGACTATGCCAAGCAGCTGATCCAACGATTTGTCTTGGAGAAACCAAAGCCACTTTTCGGACTGTTTTGGACAAGTAGCTGTACGCACGATGATTTTCGGGGTGCTTATAATTTTGATGAACCATTCGTTCGTTACCTGAAACAGTTCCAGGATACGGGCTGTTCGAAAGATCCATTGTGATACTGTTCAGTGACCATGGGCAGCGGTATGGACCACTGGCCCAACACTACACCGGCTTCTGGAGGAGAGACTGCCCATGTGCACATTTATATTCCACCATGGTATCGCAAACGTATCCACAGGTGGCCAGGGCACTGCAATTAAACAGGAATCGCCTCAGTTCCAATTATGATCTATATGCGGGTATCAGGCACATTGTCCAGCAAATTCGTCCAGGATGGGCTTTCTATACAAATTTCCCCCAAATACTGTTCGCTCGATTCTTAAAGTGCTGCCCAGGAATCGGAATTGCCGGGAAGCCGGAATACCCATGCACTGGTGCACTTGTAAGCCCTTCGTTGATGTAAGGTGAGCTATTTTTTTATGACACTCGCCGAGGTGACTGTCTCTCGGATGAATGATTTCCTAAAGATGCTGGACCTTGAAAGAGATTGTCATTTGATTAAGCCCTATAAAGTTACTAAGGCGGAACGACAATTGCACTTTGATAAAGTGGGAAATATCGTTGCTGCTCCAAATGGTTTGACCACTTATAGCATCGTCTTTACCACAAGTCCAAATGAAGCAATGTATCGATCAATAGTGATGAGCAACAGAAACCAATCGATTGTCCATACGGAAATCGATATGATCAGTCGTCTAAATGCCTACAGGAATGAGTCGTATTGTGTCAAGGACGTAGTTGCAAAGAAATTCTGCATTTGTCGCGAGGATAAATTATTAAATCTCCCAAACAGAGGAGTAGCTAGAACGGGGAAAGTGAAATACGAATTTGTGGAGGATCGCGAAGGCGAATTTTATGATGAAAACAAATACATTTCAGTACCACCTCACAGCACGAAAAAGCAAAAAATCAATTGAAGTAGAATCTTTGTATTTTATAAAGCATTTCAGGCTGATTAAAGCAGAATATACTGCTTATAAATACATTATTTACATTATATAATACTGCAAGACTTGAGTTGTATTGGTTCTGTCTTATATTCAGCTTCTAAGAATTCAATCTGTAAGGTTTGGCCTTCGATGTTATAATCTTTCTGTTTTTATAACTATAAATCTAGTTATGTAAACAAACTTTTGAATCTTATTAGATCAAAATACTTCCAATATTTTGACTTTCCAATCATATTTATATTACATTTTTGGATATTTACGTGCCTTCCTCATTTGAACTAATTTTGTCGGAAAAAGTTGAAAACATAAATATGTTTCGTATGTATTATCGAAGACTCTTCATTTGTTTGGTGCTTTCACGTTGCTGTTTTTGCTGGCAAAGGACAGGACCAACAATTCAATTGAAACCACAAAAGTAACTCAATTTCATCCGAAACCCAGAAACTATACAGCCACAATTGTCAGAAGTAGACCATCCGGTGGATTCTTTGTACTGAGTTCCCAGTGCAAGATTCCATATGTTGATCCATTTGCAAAAGAGCTCCTAGATTGGGAACCAGTGAAAATAGAGACCTGTCCTGATGGACCGGATTTATTTAGCGTTTCGTACGATCGTATCAGGAGTCTTTATAAGCTAAACTTTAATAAAGACCTGGCTGAGAAGCATTTTGCAGGCTATTCCCATTTGGTTGCACTTACATTGAGATAATTCCGGATCGAACAACTCCTCTGCTGAGTAAGGATAATTTTAGTATAAAGTTTAATAGATAGTAATAATTAATTGCAGATCAAAGCCTATCAACTTTAATCCTTACTGGATAGTGCCTAGTCACTTACTGGGTATTATTGTCGAGTGTCATGCTTTGGCAAACACTTCCCAAGTGATGCAACGTGATGCCTTTTCCTTTATCCAAAATCCCAGGAACCACAAAGAGGAAAATAATGCCAAAAGGAAACCCAGTATCTTTATCTTTGGGATCGACAGCATGTCGCGGATAAACTTCCAAAGGACGATGCCATTCACCTCCAATTTGTTCGCCAGGAAGGATGGTTCGAAATGGAGGGATTCAACGGTGTGGGTGACAACAAAATTAGTAACTTGATGGCCATACTTACGGATGGCAAACTTTGGAAAGACAAACTCTTGTGTGATCCAGAAATCCCACTTGTCTTCACGAACTAACCAAGTTGTGGAAACACTTTCGGAATGCTGGTTACCTCACAGCATATGCCGAGGATGTGACTTCCGATTATTTTAAAGGACTCGGTATGGAATCCTTGCCGCTTCCGTTGGACTTTTATTTGCGTCCCTTCTTGGTCATCGTTGAGAAAGTTTTTAAGCAATTGGGACTTTGCCTGGGTAGAAGATATAGTTTTAGCTACGCCTTCGATTTTGCCAAGCAACTGATTCAACGATATGTCTTTGAGCTACCAACTCCAATCTTTGGCCTGTTCTGGACAAGTAGTTTCACCCATAACAACTTTCGAGGTGGCAGGACCTTGGACGAGCTATTTGTACGTTACCTGGAGGAGTTCCAGGAGTATGGGCTATTCGAAAGTTCCATTGTGATTCTGGTCAGTGATCGTGGTTCAAGGGAGAAGATTTTGGTAGATCGTCCCTCTGGCTTTCTGGAGGAGCGACTGTCCATGCTGCACATTTACTTACCCCGCTGGTATCAGCAGAGATATCCATCGGAGGTCAGGGCTCTGCAATTGAATCAGAATCGTTTGAGTTCCAATTGCGATCTGTATTTAGGGATTCGAGAGATTGTAGAAAAGACTCGCCCGGGTATATGGTTCATGGAGTCCACTTATCCATGTCAGTCGATCCTAAAGAAACTCCCCAAGGATCGCAATTGCGATGATGCCTCAATTCCTGCAAATTGGTGTGCCTGTGTGCCCTTCATCCGAGTTCCCATTGAGCACTCAATCGATCAAATGGCTTCGGTGGCTGTGTATCGAATGAACAAGTACTTGAATAAGCTGAATGTTGTCAGGTATTGCTATCTAATGATGTTGGATCAAGTCCTGAAAGCGGAGCGTCAGTTGCACTTTGATACGGAGGGAAATGCAGTACTTCTCCTGGTCGAGTTGAGACATTTCGACTGGTTTTCATCACCCAACCGCATGGAATCAAGTTTTGGTCTATGTTTCAAAGCAATAACGACTCCAATGTTGTGACCATCAATTGGATGCAATAACTCGGCTCAGTCCCTATGACAGCCGCTCTAATTGTATGAAAGATCAAATGGCAAGGAAATTCTGCAATTGTCGCAAGTTCCATTAATATTTGCTTTTTTTTATATAATTTATAGCTTATTTATAAATCAAATTTGATTGTATGTTAACTCAGAGTTCCTTTGCTTATCCGTCGAATTTATTTAGTATAGAATTTTTCTTGAATATGGAACCCACAATGAGACGAAGGTCTATATTAAAATTTAAGAGATATATATTTATGTTCTTTGCTGTCTTGTTAGCCATTATATGGGTCAATCACTATGCTCAAAACTCAAAGAGATCCAAGAAAGTGGACGTTGAGGATCTTCCTGTGGTCAGACATAAAAGCAGTGAGGAAGTGATACCAACACCAAGGACCGAATCTCCGCAGGAAAGACGCTTAAGGATTTTTCGTGAGCGTCTCTTGGAAGACAATGATAGGGACAGGGTCACGGAAAAGACTTTGAGTGTGCAGTCTGATGTACCTGAAGTAAATGATGAGGATGATGATGATGATTTGAGCTCTTTGAGCGAAATACAGCGCAAAATGCGAAAAAGGAAACCGGCAACTCGTTTCTTTGTGTTGAATTCCAAATGCAGGATGCCATATGTGGATCCCTTCTCCAGCGAGGCAGTTGCGATCTTAAGCCTGCGCTGTCGATAAATGCAGCAAGGAAGAACCCATCTTTTCACTAAAATTCGATCAAAAGCTGTTGCGATATCGGTTGCAGGTAGATAAAACAATGATTGCAAAGTTGAAACCAAATCTACGCAAGTATAGTTGCAAATACAGAGAAGTCTCAAATGACACGTAAGTGTCGCTTGACCTTTACTTCTTGAATATTTTTCGATTATGATTAAACATTCTCAGGAATACCCCCTGGAGGATCTTCCAAGATGAGGCCATCATTGACTGGACTCCCAGAGGCATTGTTGCAGAGTGTCATGTTGCTCTGACTATCCCAAAAACTATTCAAAAGGATGCCTTCCCCCTGGTACAGGTGCCTTATAGGAGCGCGCGGGTGGAGTCGGATCCATTGAATAGAAAACCAAGTGTGTTAATCCTGGGACTGGATAGTATTTCGCGGATGAATTTCAAGCGCAGTATGCCAAAGACAGCCGAATTTGTTAAGCAGGAAGGCTGGTACGAAATGGAGGGATACAACAAAATGGGGGACATTGCGTTCTCCAATCTCTGCGCCATTTTGGGTGGCTCCAAGTCGCATATAGTCTGCGAACAGCGATTTCCTTTGATATGGAAAGCATTCAAGGACGCTGGCTACACAACTGCCTTTGGGGAGGATAGCGTAGAATTATCTGTTCCTCCGGGACTCCGCACTGACTATCAACTCCGTACCCTATTAGAGGACATTGGTGAATCCATGGCTAGCGTCACTAGATTTGGGATGAAGTTCTGCCTGGGAAGACGCCTGAGCTTCTCTTATTTGTATGATTTTTGCATGCAATTCGCGCAGCGATTAATCGAGGACCTTGATCAGCCGGCATTTGGGGTATTTTGGAGTTCCACCTTTACCAACGACTATCGTCAAGGTCCCACAAGTCTTGATGAAAACTTGTGGAGTATCTTCGGGTAATGGGCGAGCACCGTGTGTTTGAGCGCTCAATTGTGATCCTGTTGAGTGACCAGGGTCAAATGTCGGGTGATTTGCTTGATCTGGTTGATGGATATCTCGAAGAAAGACTGCCAATGCTGCACATTTACCTGCCGCCTTGGTTCCGTGAAACCTATCCGGAATTCGCTAGCAACTTGCACAACAACCGGAATCGCCTTACCTCACCCATTGACCTTTACAATACCCTTCGGCATATACTCAATCTGAAGGCTTCAGTACCCAAGGAAATGGTTTCTCTGATGAATTGCCGGAATAGTCATCCCTGTTGCATTTGATGCCCTTTAATCGCAGCTGTGAGGAGGCCTGCATCGGTCTCCATTGGTGTGCCTGCAATGAGTTCAGAGTACTACCCAACGACATGAATTCTTACCATTTGGCCAAGACATTCGTCTCCAATATCAACTATTGGATGCTCAAGAATCGGTACAATTTACACTGCCAGCGGTTGAAGCTTGCTGATCTGGACTATGTGGAGCACATCCTGGATAAGGTGGAGTCCCCAAAGAGGGGCATAATGGTCTTTCGCCTGCGGGTTCGCACATATCCCTTGAATAGGATCTTAACGTCCACCATTCGCTTCAATCTTGAGTTGGGTAAAATGGTTGATGTAACCTTAAGGAAGTTAGTAGTCTCAATAACCATAATACAGGGGAGTGCGTGAAGGATTGGACTGCCAAAAAGTTCTGCGTCTGTTATCCCGAAAAGACGGACGAGGAAATGGACTTTTGGATAAAGTATAAATTATAATATTATGCAGATAAATTGGTTGGTGATTCAATTTAAAACCTAATACTTTAGTTGCTTATCCTGAAATAAAAAGATAGTATTCATGGTTATATGAACATGGAAAGAAAGCAAATAAGATCATACCTTCGCTCTGTTATATTCTGTTTAAAGGAATGTCTTAAAAACACAATTTCACTTTATTTGGTATAGAAAAACGCAGCTCAATGGAGTATATTTGGACTCTCTGCTTTTATTGAATTCGTTCAAAGTTTATGTCTACTTTCAATTGCATTGGAATCTCCAATAAAAGCTCACTTAGGCTAATCCGATTTGCGTGTAAATCTCTAGTGTAGTATGATATAGAATTAAATTCTTCTAACCCTTAGTCTAGCAGGACTCTTGAAACTTATTGGTCCCTCGCACCGAATACGAAAATTCAACAAATCAGCATTAACAATACACTTACTCCTAGTTCCATTATAAAACTATAAAACTTGATTATGAGAACAGGACTCTACATGTACGAGTCGACCGGATATCGCTCGGCCTCTTCGAGCATATGCCGGAAATCAACGGGCACGGGTTGGGTTACGTTTCCGGTTCCGGGTCTACCGGGAACATGACCGTTCATCATTGGGCGGGATGCTTGCCGCTGCCCAAGGCACTTCCGCGGTTTTTTAGGTGTCCATTCATCATGCTCACATGATGACTTATAGTGGGTACTGCCCCAGGCACATTGGTCTCCAAGTCATGGAGAATGGCATCGGTCTGCTCATTGCGCATCATCTGATCACCCAACGGAACCGATTCATCCGGATTATCGCTCTTGTTCAGCAACCGGTGAATGTGATTCCGAATAAGACGCTCGAATTCACGCTGCACTGAAGGACTATCCGTATCGCCATCGACCTGGGAATGTACATTTCTATAAATACAATGTACCTAAGCCTTGAATGACTACTCACGATTTGCAAGCGATTGCTGGTGTCCAGGATCTTTAGCATGGGCAGCGTCTGCTCACGAAATAGCTCCAATCTACGGCGGAATGAAGACACAGTGTCATCAATACGTCCTCTGCCCAGTTGGAGTTTGGAACAATCGAGCAGGATAATGGGCGGGCGTTGCTTGTACTGTAAAAGAGAGATAATTTATTAATTATTTCAAGTAAAAGTTAGTCAAAAACTAATTGAGTTTACCTTATTCTCAAAGTACTTGACTTGCTGCAAATTCCTGGGATAGCCATCTATGATGATTCCAGTTCTATCCCGCAACAGGCGCAGATTGGTCTCCAGTAATTGATTCAAGGACTTCTCTGGCGCCATATCCCCGGCGGCCAAGGACTCCTTAACGGCATAGCTTTCGGTATTGGCACGTGGTGCTGAGTCCGTGATATTACGCAAAAGACGACCCACACTGAAAGATGAAATATATATTTATAAAGGATATAGAAGGAGTATCCCATTTCAACCCACCTAATGTGTGCCCATCCAGGGTTTAGACCCACGGCCTTGAGACACAGCGTGGCCTTGTTGCTGCCAGGACCTCCAATTACCCAGATAATGGGCGGTAGACCCTCAGAATCATCCGAACCTGGACGTAGCTTTGGCTGCTTGGTGACCACAACTCCGCTATCATCGTCCGCACTCTGGGTGTCCATCTTTAAGGCAGCCACCGCCACATTTCGGCCACCATCGCTTCGATCCAAGGCCAGATCCCTGGCCAGAACGGTGCCTGTGGTATCGGTGTCTGTGGTGGTGTCATTGGTGGCTCTGCCTTCTGCAATTTGAGTCGCTTGTTGGGCTTGACTTGGAGCGGTGTCAACGCTAACAATACTGCCGGGTATGTCATGCACCCCTCTGCCCATACCTGTTACTCCGTTCATCACCGCCTCTTGGTTCTCAAGGGTGCTGAGTATGTCGAGGACAGCGGTGCGAAAGTCTTTGTACACCTCTGTGGGAGCACGCTCGCCATTAACCTAGAGGAAAATGTGTGGAAAATCTTAATTTTCTTCACTTCATGGTTGATAAGTATTTATGATTATTAATGTGTTTACTTACGGCCAACAGCATGTCACTTTGATCAAAATAATCAGCGACTGGCATCACATTTTTAAAGAAATTTTCCAATTCCATTTTGGCTAAGGAGAGTACTACATGACCTAATTTGGCCCCATAATCGATTTGTTTCTGTAGAACCGATTGACGCCAGGATATTAGAATCACGCCATTCACGACTTGTATCTAAGAGTGGAGAATAGAAACAAATCATAGAAGAGATTAATTTTTATGTACTTTAACGAGTTGCTTCCCTCAGAATGTCCTACTTTTGCAATTATAGACCAATATGCTATAGTTATAACGCCTTGTGTACGTGACTTAGTACTTGGTACTCCCCAAGTACCAACTCTGTCCAATTAGCACTCGAATATGTAACAGACAGTGAATGTGGGCTTCCTTGGCTGTAAATCCATGGGAATTATGGCCAAACAAACACACCGATGGCGACCCATTTGCCAGTTAATTAGTTCAAATAGCTCAGCAGCAATTTACTGGGTAAATAAAGAGTGCGGCAACAAAAAATGGCTTCGTAACAAATGAAAGGACTCTCAGGACTGAGGGGGAAAGACAGCGCAAATTGGTTGGGCAAGTGGAAAGAAAGGAAAAACTACCTTCTCCGAATACTCGACAACGTCGCGCATTGAACGTGGATATCCCGATATCAGGTATGCTTTGGCAGCTGGAGCCATTTTCATTTCCAACATCAGCACCTCGGTGACTGTTTTCGACGATAGTTGCGAAAAGTCCTGCATGTCTGAAAGGATATTTCGGAATATTATTATTAGCCAATAAATAATTATTCCAAATTAAGTAGCTCTTATATACTTCATTGTTGTATAAGTACTTACAATATTGATTGATTATATTTATATTATATGTACAACAAAGAGGTTGTAAAAGCCCGTAAGTAGGCAGAAGGACCTAGCCTAGTTTATCTTCTGCTTAATTTATTTATATTTTAAATATTTGTGATAGCAGAGAAGAAAACTATCTTTAAGACAACTTAGTTGAATGAAGAATGCAAGGTAAAGGAAGAAATCTTGATCTGGATCTGGAGAATCAGGTTTTATCCTAGTTATGGGTTCCGGGTTTTGTTCTATTTTTCTATGTTACAATTAGAATTTTAAAATTATCCTGGACCAAAAAAAACTATATCAAAGTACTTCGTTATATAATTTATAATCCATGCAGAAGAACCCACTAGAAGTATTAAGAAATATATATTTTTATACCCTTTCAAGGTATTATAATTTTAGTCAGAAGCTTGCAAAGTAGTTAAGAAGTCATTTCCGACCCCATAAATCATATATATTCTTAATCAGCATCAAAAGCCGAGTTGATCTAGATATCTCAGAAAAAACATTTTTTTTCAAAAAATTCTCCAATATTTCAACATTTATATAACGCTCTATTAATCGTTGAAATTGTCAAAATTTGTAATTTTCTAAATTCTAATTAAGTATGCAGATTTAATAACCTAACAAAAGCTTCCGAATTAAAATACATGATTTTTGTCTGAGTTATGAGTTTTTTCAATTTTGAATTGTTGGAAAAATTGTCCAATATATATCGATAAAGATTGATAAAAAATGCGAATATTTTAAGCTTTATGTTCAAGTTTCGATTCGATTCTATAATTCAATTGCAAACTGTAATTGTATATAAGCTTTGACATTCCAAGTTGTTTCCTTTTCTTGTTTTAAATATATAAATATCTATATTATATTATATTATTTTATATATATTATCACAATGAAATCAAATATGTGTAAGGGCTTAAATATGTTTAGAGTTTATCTTTAAAGTTCCTAAAAATCGCTATAAGCTCTTTCTGAGAGAAAATTTATATGAGCCAAATCGATTAGTATTTATTAAGTATGTATTATAAACATCTTTTGATGCTACCAACAGAACATAGCTTCTTGTTAAAACATTCAATTCAGACCTAGAAATACTTTCCTTGAAAATTCTTAAGCGTTCTCTTGATATTTTATACCATACTATATATTCTGGTAGTTAGATAAGATTCTTCCCAAAGAAAATTATAGAAACCATACCATTTCCCATTGCATATTGCTGCAGCAGATCCATCATATTGATGTGCGTTACTCCGCGTCGCTCCTGCATGAATGTATCGCAATGGGTGACCTTGCCACTACCTGGGCCGCCTAAAACAAATATCACTGGCACTTTGGGCGGATCGAATTTGATTTTTCCAGCATTTTGCATATCGATAGCGCCGACATTGGCAGAACCCAATCTTCCCGCCGCCGTGGCGGCCTCCAAGTCGCCAGCATTTTGGGCATTCCGATTCCGTGTATGACTCCAATCGTTGCCTTGTTCGCCGGTATCTTGTGCCGCGCTGGCATCTATAAAATATTTAATGATATTCATTAAAAATAAATAGTTATTCAGGTTTTTGAATGTTAAATTTCATAATAACCAGCATTCTGGGTTAAGTTAGTATTTCAGTTGTGCTGAAATAAGTTACCTTTAAACCTTCTCCAAGATATTCATATGTTTGTCTTCTTTGTAAGATTTATAGTTTAAATATATTCGAAAAAACCTTGAAGCCTAACAAGTACTTTAATTTAAATGCATGTTTCTGAATCGTTTTATATTTACCCAAACTCCCTAAGAGTTTTCTCAGGGTTTAAAAATATATATATTCCATGTTTTTTACTGTCTTAATAATTAATAACAGATTTTTGAGAGGAAAGGATTGACAAAAGTTCCTGTGGCATGTCAACATAAGTCTTAATATACGTCTTTAAGTACCATAGAAATTATTAAAAATTATAATTCTCCTTTATTCCTTTTTCAAAATGAAGTCCTTGTTTTTGTGTGCAAAGCAACAGTTGACCCTGCTCCTACGTTACCGCCATTACTCGACCGGAAACCGGATGTGTTGGCAAGTTAGTGCGAGGAATCCCGGTTTCGGGTAACGTGCCAAGTCGACATTAGCCATTAGCCTTCAGTGAGAGAGGCGGAAGCAATTTGCCAGGAATAGGAAATTAGTGCCAGAAGCACACACACTCAACGTGGGAGCGAAGAAAGCGAAGTAAATCGCGAAACACATCATTAAAACATGTTAAACAATTATTTAATTGTATGGCAACCGTGTCTAGTTTAGTATGGCGTCACCGCTGAATTCATTCATGGAAAATCAGCTGCTATATAGCTTTCGATATGTGCACCCCCCCCCCAGCTCCTATTAGTTGCACCCCCCTTGGGTAATTTCATTCTTCTTGTGCCCCTCTAACCGGTCGGTTCTGTGACATTTTTATTGATTTTTCTGCAGTTTTATTTAATTGACATGTTTTGTTATTGTTGCTGTCCCTTTCCGGTGCGGGGTTTCCCATTTCCACTCAGTGGAAACTCGTTTTCCTTTTGTTTTTTTGTGAGTGACGCGCATTTTCAGGATTTATGTGTAATGTGTGACTGGCTTTGGTGGTCAACGTACATGTCCAAGGACCGGGCAGCCTTGGTGGACAACGAGCCCAAGTTCCGATACAAATTATAGCGTTGAGCAAGGTCTCTATTTTGCTATAATATCCGTAAATATGTTTGGTAAAAATACTATATGTAAACCGAATATATATATATTGTAAAATCGTTTTGTCAAGAAATTCGAGGTAACTGATTGCTGTAATTTCAATTTCAACTGTCCCTTGAATTGTAGACAATTGAATATGTCACCGAGAATTAATTAGCTAAGGGAAAGGGTTATTTATAGTTTGATTTTGAAGACAGCAATCTTTTAAAAGTTAAATCAGGCTTTAAAGGAATTTATTTGATTTGGAAATGACAATGATTAATAAAGGAGAATCACAGTTTTGGAATTTTCTTTATGTTATTTAAAGCCTTAATAAAAGAATGCCCATGAATTGTTTAATGATTATAATATTTAAAAACCAACTAGATAAATTAATATGTATTCCCATTTTCACAAATAAGTGTATGATATTTTTTGTTTACATATTTCAATACTAATTTAAAATCAAACAATAGTTCTGCCTTTACCCAAAAAAGTATGCAGTACAATGTGCGATTAACCACAAGTCTCAGCTGAGAACTATGCTACAAAAAACAGGGAATAAGAAATATAACTATAATATAATATAATGTTTTAGGTTCTTCATCTAAAATTCATTGACACAAAAAACTAATGAAAAGTTCTGTATTACAAGTAGTCCCCCTTGGCGTGTTCGGGCTGCTACTCATTAGGGTTCTTTTTGTGTTATCTTTTGGCCGTCGAGAGGCATTGCTAATCTCTGTTAATAGATCTCCCGAATGGGAAACATTACTCACCTGTGTCTAAACAAATACCCATTATCCATTCGGTGGCCAGTATAGCTGAATTTTCGCAATTGTGTTTTCCCAAACGCGCCCGCCCGCGTGCACTTTTCACTTGCACACCAATAACAGTATTGTGTTTAAAAAATTATATATATATATATATAGTATATATATATTGAGCTTTTCCGAGAAGGTTCTAACCGAAAATGGTGAAATTCCACAAATAATTTGCACTCTGCAACCGAGTCCTTCCATGGCTTTAGAGCGGAAAATATTCCTATGTTTTCTATATGTATATTATAAATTTGTGTACATTTATTATTGGTATCTCTGGGATACTTGTTCTCGCGTTTTATCGTCGGCAACACGCACCACAACGAACTGCATGACGTTGCCGGTTTTTTTATGTTTGAACTCCTGATTTTCGATTTGAATCCTTTTTGTTCTGATTTCCGCGAGTTCAACAAACCGGGGGCCAGGTACGCCTCGATGAGCGTCCGAAACGAAACTGAGTTCCGAAATTGACAAGTGACTCGGTTTTTACCTCGCCGAGTCGATTCACCTGGTCACTTTGCCCGTTGCCCGGCGCGCGTTTCCAATTAATGAATAGTTTATGAGTTCCAGCAGTTTTCCTGGCCACCACATGCGATTCCAGTGGCTCGCGGGTGGGTTCACTGTGCTCGCTGGAAGTTTCACGCACGGCTTTAGCTCCATACATCCTTGGAGTGTTTCACCACCAAATCTCAAACCCAAGACCATCGCACATGTCCGTGTCATTCATGGGCCGCCATTTGTTTATGCGCTCCAAACAAAGTGGCGGTATCCTGAGTCCTGTGTCCTGGTGTGCCCCAGCAGTGCGTTTCTCAGACACATGCGGCTTCCAACCAGCTCTTTAAAACACATTCCATGTCTAGTGTCCTGTCGCCTATGTTGATTGTTGTTGTCATTTCAGGTTTTTGTTTTGTTTTTGTTTTCATAGGTGTAAATAAAGCCTCTGACTTGCAGCTGTTCAAGTTGAAAGGTAACTAATAGAAATCAGTGAGGGCGAAAAAATAGTCACAAGTATCAGAAATACTATTGAATTATTACCAATAAAATTATGTGGAAATAGAATCGAAAATATTTCAAAACATTTTATGCAAAATTATCTTATACGAAACATACAAAATTAGATAACAAAATGTATGATTTCAATTATCCATAAGTACAGATTATTTTCTATACTAAATGGTTATTAAATTCAAGAGGGGATGAACATAAAAGGCTAATTTAATTTGCTTCTATAATATATAATAGAGATCATTATCCTTTAAACCAAGGTGTCATAAGAGTAAAGCATATTTTATTAATAAAAAGTTCTTGAACCTGCACTTTAGTAAGGTAAAGTAAAGAAATGAAGCATCAATTCCGAAAGCTACATACAAAATGTTGTATAAAATATAATGCTTAAAGTAATTTCTCAAAGAAATAATTATTCAAGTAAATCGAACTAAATGCGTATCCTTTGGTTTACTGGAAAAGTGTTCAGCTATCATGAGTCTGCTGTATAGTATGATACGTGTCCATTGTGAAGCGATTTCATGTGCTTGATGGCAGCAAAATTGCGCAATCATAGCGCCGCACAATGGCAAATGGGTTCTAAATTGAAAAATCCCGTGGGAAAGAAGGATTCGGTGGAGTGATTACGTGATATGTAGGATTTCCCGAGCAATCAATGGGAACTGGAACACTGGGCCGTGGGTGAGCATTCATTCAATTAATATTTCACACTCTTAATTGGCCTAAATTATTTATTTTACTGGTGGACGATGGGTAATTCCCCGGAGCGTAGACAGCTGTCAAAATTTTCAAAATGTGTTCAATTAAAATTCAATTGGTTTAGTTTTCTCTTTCTATTTTTTTTTTGAAGTTTGAGCTTCGTAATGGGGCATTGGACACTCTGGGATAGCAGGGGACAGGTTGATTAGGCCCGGCAAGGACATCGAAAGAAGTTCAAAGCTCAAGGAAACTTCATATCGATCAAATTGGTCTCATATCGATCCGTGGACAACCACAGATGCGACGCCTAATTTGTTGGAATTTGTGACATGTCATGTGCCGTCGACACAAGGACGGCGGCCGCAACAACAAGGATAACAACTGCCGAATCGAACTGAAACCAGCGATTGACATTGACACCCACACCAGACCAGGCCAGGACACCCCACACCAGGTCGATCCAGTCCATTGGGACCCGGATTTCCAACTTATGCGTAAAGTAAATCCTTGACCAACAACTCGCTCGTGTCTCGTGCTCGTCCTTGGGGCTATTGGGCGGGTCCTTTGGTTATTAAATGCCTTTTCAAACTTAATTAAGGCTACGCGTTTTGGCCAACATGTGTACACAACTGCAGACGGGTGCGGTCAACTTAGGGTTAAGCAATTCGAGCCAAACATATGTGATTAAGGCTAAGGGGCCGCTTTGTTGGCGACGAAAGCTGCCGCGCCAAAGATGGGGAGAGATGACAACCTCTAATTTAAAAAATCATACAAATTAATCATTTAATTGTGCTAAGGGCAATGAATAACCTCCGATAAGCGTATGTACTTGAGGAAAACCCTGTGAAATAAAGGATGAGGTCTATGGAATTAAAAACATAACATTCAATGGCACAATAGGAATATTATAACCTATAATAATGGAAGTAAAAATGCTAAATGAAAAACATGAAGAAGAATAGAGGGTTGCCTTTGGACTTTAAATATAAATCTTGGTTTTATTAATTATTATAATATGATAAGTAGTTTTTCTTCTCCATATTTAAATAAAAACCAGTCCCAATCAAATCTCCTCTCCATTTATAAATAGGTTTCCTGGTGTTGGAATTAAACGTGCCCTCAGAGGTTAATGGTCCGTCCTTCAGGGCCTATTTGGGTTAATATAGCCATTCGATTGTGATTATCGGCTTGAGTAAAATATTTACAAATCTCATACCCGTCGTTACCTGTATTTTTCTTAGTGCATTTGGGGACTTTAGTCCATCCTAATGTGAAAGTTATCAATTATTAATTATCAACTGTAAAGTTCCCAAAGGCGGGCGTGTCAATCAAATAGAAGTAAAAATACATCGAAGGCTGTTGTCCTCTTTGAACTTTTAACTGTCTGAATTTTTGATGATTGTGTTCGAAAGTTCCGAAAGTTGTTTTCTTCTGTTTGAGTATAAATATTGATTCGCCGTAAGGACACTCGCATCACTGATGAAGAAGTTGGGTACTCTCGCTTTACCTTCAAAGCATTCCACAGAACGAATTTATTCACTTAACTCGAATCAATAAAATATAATATCACTGGTCATAATCCTACAGTTGAAATTGTGACTAATTGTTAAGGTCTAACTAAGATCTAACTCTTGTTGGAAACCTCTCCACTGGCGGAGTAAGCCTGATTCTCGTATCCGGCAAAGTTGCCTAGCACCATGGAAATGCGTGACGGCGAATGCTGTATTCCATTTCCGGTTTTCCCATCCTGTCCAGCTTTTCCACTGCTTGTGGGTAAAACAAAGTTGCATTGCGACATCTTCGATGTAGGAATAATCGTAGTTTGAAGAATACAAAGAGCAGGACATAGATGAAACACGACAGGATGAGCACACCCACAACTGTGACAAAGGAACTCTCCGGTTGACTCCAATCAATCACATGATAGATGTAGCGTTTTCCTTTCCTTTAAACAAATAATTAACAATATATTGCTGATAATGATAATAGATTAAGCAAACTTACTTGTTAATGCCTCCGCACAAGTGATAAATGTAGAGAATATGGCAAAGACAATGCCAAATAATACTGGCAGAAATATGTGCAACAGCCTCATGGGATGTGCCACAATCCACAGATCGATAAACATGCAGATCGAATTAAAGGCGTGAGTGAGCACATTTGTGGCATCCAAGTTATTCTCATTAGCTATAAAATAAGCAAGGAACTAGATATATAATCCAATTAACTTCCAAGTATACTCACCATCGTACAGAATCCCCCAGTAGATAATGGTGATGACAATAGATAAGACCAGAGATATGATGTGCATGCCCCAGTAGACTCGAAATAGCTAAAGGAGCTCTTGATATTCAAGAGTTTATCTGCAAGTTAAAAATAAAGTTTTAAATATGGTTTTAAGAGCATTCCCCATATGTTAGGTACAAACTTACCGGCAGATTCTGGATGATAGTGCCAAATGGTGACTAGTACTGCTCCCAAAGATTCGTCAGCATACACATCCATATGCCCCAGTTGGTCATGTAGATGAAGTACAGCCAGTAGCTGCTCTCATCATCTGCTTCTGGCCACATTGAGGTGATAACAACGATCACAAAGAACAGGGCCATGAACCAGCGATAAAATAAATAAGCCATACTCTTTGAGCATGTTTGCCACTGAAAGGTTTTTAAAAATAATTAATATAAAATTCTGAAGTCTTTCAAAAGGAATTACTACTATAAAACTACCATAAATTACCACTATGGCAAAAAGTTTAAATGAAATCTATAATTTTTATTAAATATTTCCACAATATGTATATTAAAAAAAATAAAATCAATTTAATTGTTCTTTAACTAGTTTTTAGTTAGTTTCTCCAGTTGTTTCATTGTTTTAAAGAACTTGAGTACTTTTAAGCTATAATTTCCAGGGTCTTGATTATTTCTAGACACTAAAGTCTCCTTAAAATTGATTGCAGCAATCGCATGTTTAAAGTAATGATTTCTTGACAGACCCCAGAGAGTTCGTAACGGCCTGCTGCTTATGCATATTTCAATAGTTTAATTTACAATGCACGAGCAATCGGTGTACAAAAGTCAAAGTGTACTGTCATATATATCACATACATATATATCCCTTGTAACCCTCTCTCTATTGATACTGTGAATGAAGGAGTTTATTAAATATTCCCAAGGTAAGAGCCATACAAAATGGACAAACGCCCATTGTCTCTTACCATTTGTAAGATGGTTCGATTCGGTGTCGGGTATTATGGGACAATTGACATTTTTCACAGATGGGAGAAAAAACAGAGGAACTTCTATGGGATAACTTAAAATCACAAAATATTTATACAGAAAATAAACAAGTAGAATATGTATTTAAAAAAAATGTTGAAAAATCTTTCAAAAATCTTTATAAATAAGTATTGCCTAAAACAGTAATCAGTTACTAGACATTTTTGGGGTCTCACTTAGCCAAAGCACACCTTATTGACCTCGATGCGGACACTGGCCAAACACTTTAAAATGCCCATCATGTACATTGACCTGCGCCCCGAGTGCAACTCAAATACGAAACCAAATAAACACCTGCCCAGTTGCGTGTCCACACTGGGCGTTTCTGTCATAGGCCCCAAGGACGCAGATTATTTGTACTGTCATCGAACTATTTAAATTTAATCCTTACCTGTGACTTGACGAAGTCATCGGGTGTGTCGTGGTCGAAGCCACAGCTTTTGCGCTGGAACTCCTTCTTCACGGGATGAACGATCACCTGGAGTTTGCTCATCTCGATGGTTTTGCTGTCAATTAATGTCTATAATAATGTGGTTATATCTTATGCAATCACTCGATGCATGCAAACTGTGATTCTCCCAACAAACAGTTAGGCAATTAAAGGCGTTTTCAGCGATGCCATTCTCTTTGCGCGCTGCTATTTATTAACCAGAATGTGTTGAGATCTGAAAGAATTGGGAGAAAATGTATTGTATCGGATTAACAACTCTTTAATGCTATAAGTTAAACTAAATATTAGGAAAATAAGCATTTTCTTAGTATTTGGTTAATGAAACATGGTAATATAACATCTTATTTTACCTTAGAGCATCATATTCGAGTGTTAGAAATGCATTTGTGAGGCTAAGAAGTATAACAAAGTGTCTTGATATAAGGAAAATACATAATTTTTTATGTAATATATAAAAATATATATATATATAATATATATATTATATTATAAATATTATCAGCATTCTGTCAGGAAGAGGAATTTATCAGAGTCGTCAGGAGTTGGGTTAAATATAATTTTAAATGTTTAAAATGTGTTTGTCAGTCTCTTATCTTTTCTTTGCATAAAATATATTTCATTACTTAAATAATAATTAAAAAAAAGAACCTTTTAACAAAGTAGGCAAGATTTTTTGAATCTTAGTAACCCTTGTTTTAAAAGTCATCAACCGATTGCTTACTTCCCTTCACACATTCACCATTCTCAGTATCTTTAATGCCAATATACAAACAGGTCATATTTCTGAAATATTAAAATAATCTAAAAATACTGTGTTGTAATGGAGTTGGCTAGAAAATTCTCAAGCCTGTATGGCGACCATTAGCTGTGGTGAGTAAAAGAGTTTAGTAAAGTTAATATATAGTATTATATCTGGGCATTCCCTTGGACAGTGGTTCGTCCTTATTGCGAGAAGCCAGTTAGAAATCTAGTCAAGTTTCCTGTTGCCAAGATTCAAACTGGTAAATCCAAGTACATGATGGCCAAAGTTTACATTCACGGAGAAATGGGCAATGCCAAGGAGGTGATCCGCAGTGATCCAAAGCCAAGTATCACCGTAAGTTGGCTTCTATTCAGAGAGAGTCTTTAGTCCTTGATTAAACTTATACTAAATCTTCTATTCAGTTGACGTTTATGATGCATTGAAAGATGAGGCCGAACAGCAGGGCTTGTGCACCCAAGGTCTTGGCGGGGTTTCTTAGTTCACGACGAGCAAAAGAAATACATCAAGTTATATGGAAAATCCCAGGCCCTGGGCAAGGCCAATCATGAGTCTGCCAAGGAACTCTTGCAGAAATGTATGAGGGTCATAAGATCGATGCAGAATCTGGCGACATGGAGTCCTAATTCGTCTTTTCTCCAATATTCATTTGGGAAATGTTTAGACCGCGTTGAAATAATTCAAGTAAATGTTAAAATTACAGTTGGATGAATAAATTGCAAAGAAATTGAAAGTTTATAATGAGTTGGGGGATTTTGTTCTTTAAATGCATAAACCTGACTTTAAACCTGAAGCTTTTGTCAATTTTAGGTATGATAATAAGCATTCTTATTGATAATTTTCATTTGATAAAAACTAGTCTAAAAGTTCCCCTTTCTGAAATTTTAACCAATGGACTTTAGTAACTATAAACTATATATATACTATAACTATTACTAAACTTTACTATTTTTTTTTCAGGACTGGGCATGCGCAACCCCTTGTCTTGACCCAGACACAGACACAGGTTAGTAACTTATGTGCAAAGTGCGAAACCAAATTGCAAACCAGACGAACTAAGCCTAGTTGTCTGCTTAATCGCGCTAATAATGCCACTATTGTATGACTATTCATATAATTACATATATGTAGAGCTACTATGGCAGTCGGGGTGCCATCATTTATGGATCAATTTACCAGATAGTTAATGCGCTTCGTTGAGCGCTCTATTATCATGCAGTAGTCAGGGAATAATTATTCGCTTCAGCAGGGAAGAGAGAAACCCTCTATATTTTTACTGCGGATTCTCTGGCATTGCTCGTCCATTAATTGCAACAAATAAAAATATTAACTTGCGCAATAAAAATGTATTAATTAGCTACTAGTCTACTAAGGTCGTACAAAAACAGAACCCTGACTTGTCCTATTGGGGTGTAGGTCGGTCGCCAAAAGAGCTGAATAATGAGCAAAGTACTTAAGCTCTGTGGCGAATTTTACAACAATCTGCATGATACGCTCTGATGAGAGAAAAAACAACGTATAAACAACTTTATTGTTGTGACTATATTACCTTGAATGCAATAGTCGTTCCTGATTAGATATGACGACCATGGGGTAACAAAAAACTTCACAACAAAGATATAAACCTGGCCAGAAATAATACAAATGAGGTCGAACTTAGAGGCAAATTCGAATACAGAATATGAAATCAAAAGACGTACGATATTTCTTGAGAATCTTATATAAAATATATATAAGAATATGTAAAAATACATAGTTATATTACTATTCTTAAGTAATCAAATTGGACATTTTGTTTGTTAACACCAAAAAGTGCAATACGATCTGTTAATTCATAACAATTGCTATTGGCAACAGCTGTTCCATTGGAAACTTTAGACCCTGACTTCAATATAGTCATCATATTCGCGGTTATACAAACACCGGGCCCAAGTTATAATTACTTTGCCAGAGCCATACTCTGATATAAACATTTTCGAGTGCGATGTTCAATGTCCCTGAACTTGCACGAACAACACGCTAATGAAACTTTTCAGCGAGCAAACCAGGCAGGTGGCCCATTCAGTTTAAACCACTCTAAACCATCTATGTATTTTGGTGGCCAAGACAATTCCGAGTCTCTTTTATTTACACGCTTTTTTGGCTGTCGCCTGTGCTACATTTTCGTCAACAAAAGAGAAGAGAAACCCGCATTAAACATATGTTTACGGTGCGTTTCGAAAAGGTATATCAAAAAGGAATTTTAGTTAGATTTCAAGACTTGAATGACAAGCTCTTGCAAGATATTATCTGTAAGATATTACCTGCCTCATTGTCTCATTTTTAATGCAAAATAAAATCATTTAACTTATCTCACTCATTTGGCAAAGACAGTCCCATAGTTGTGAAACGCACTGTAGCCAAATAATATATAGGTTTATGGCTCTTGAAGTTGTACCACAAAAAACAACAAAAAACTCGTTGACCTTTACAAGCTGTGTAAATAATTTTTCGTCTCGAATGCAGTCAAACAGCTCGGGTGAATGGCAAGTCCAAGAGCCGATCTTTAGATTCCAATATTATCAATATCCACCCCCCTTGACGATTAGTAAGTCACGTTAGCCATTCGATCGGTCCTATTAATTCACAATCTTTTCAATCACTCTAATAGAAAGTGAAATCAAGAGTTCAACGCCATTGGCAGCATTTCTTATGTTAATGACAAAAGCGTAGCCACAACAAAACTTTCTTATGATTTTCAAGTGGAAGTTTAAGTGGTTTCAGCCAAACAACAATCAAATTTGCATAAAAATTCTTGAGATTTCTTAATAAACCACTTGCAGATGGTAATTAGTCAATTCTGATTGGTTATAATATGTTAATTGGTAGAAAAATTGCTATAAAGATAGCATATACATTTACCTGTTATTACTTTGATAAATTCGTACTACAACTGCCTTCGCAATTAAGTACTTAAACCCTATATAAAAAATAAAAGAATAAAATTAAGTACATATAAAGTGTGGTTAATTTTATTCTCTGTGATAAAATTAAGCCGGTTCTAAGCAAATCCAATTGCTTGAACAAGGTTAGTTTTTATATAAAAGGTGTCAATAATTAATTAACGAATATGATCAGTAAGCGGAAGTTAGCAATTTAAAAAGTGTTAACGATTATATAAACACTCAAAATACTATAAACAAAAACAAAGTGGTCCAATTCTTAACACCACAGTTTATTCATTCGTAAGCCAATCAAACCGAAGAAAAAATGCCAACTAACTAGTTTTGCTAATAAATGCCGGTTAATTAGATAACACTAATGATTTTATGTGTATTCAAACCCACTTTGCACATTTTACATGGCATAGGCTCACCTTCAACTGATTGCAGTCGAGTATGAATAACGTTTTGGTTGAATCCAAATTGACGCTCCTTGGAATCGTTGTTGATTTGTTGTTGTTGTTGTTGGTGAAACAGGAAACTTATAATCGTTCACTTAGTTAGCTTTTTCATTAACGCTTTCTGGGGACGTGCCTAAAATTTCAAGCGTGACGTTAAATCCAATGAGCCAATATATATGCAAAGCTAAAGTCATACGAAATAGAAACTCAAGTGTAATGTATGCACATACAAGAACCTAAATTTGCATGAATTCCCAAAGGAAGTATACCTTTTATTCAGTATTTAAAATTTTTGGCAAGGCCTTCAAAAAAACTTTTAAAATAAATCGAATGACGTCTATCCCAAGAAAGTGAAATAAGAATAAAGCTAAGGTTTAATACAAGAGAATAAATAAAACCTAACTAATGACTGAATATGTACAGTAAAAAATATTTCCCTAGATTTTCATTAGAATAATAAATAAACATGGATTGAGAGATATTAATAAATATTTATTCTATCTACTTGTAACCTTTTGTTTGCAAATTAACTAGTCACATTAATATTAAGCAAGTTCGTGTTGCAAAATCTATTTAAGTAAACATTGGCTTAAGATTCAAATTGATTTTGCATGCAAATATTGTCAAGGTGGGAATTTTTTTGCTAGTTTAACAAGTTTGTAAAGAGAATTTTACACTTCTGAAGAATCGTATAATTTTAAACCGAAAAGAAATTACTATTGCTGATATTGCTTCACTATTAAAGTTCCTAATTATTATTTTTGAATTTATGTTCTGTTAAAAATTCACTTCATTCATCACTCATTCATTCACATTTTGAAAGATTGCCAAATGGCTTTTGTATGTATTTATTGTTTGGAATTATAAACGCAGCTCGGCTTGGTCTGGATTGTCTTTTATGTATTTTTTGGCCCGGTGGTAATTTCTATTTGGGTCACCACAGCAACGGCAACAACAACAACAACTTTGCATAACGGTATCTAGTTGGTTTCGAGTTTGTTTGCTGTGCCTTGCAATTTTTTTGTGTGTTGTATTGTTTTTGGTTTGGTTTGTCTGCCAACAACAACAAACAATACTTTGCATTCACGCACCGATGCACAAGAACATCCCAGCAGGCAGCAACAACTTTATAAATAAATACTACTAACTAAAGTGAAGAGAGACACGCACCGAGCGATTAAGGCTTGCAGATAGCGAAGCTGAAATCACGACTTCTCATAACGAAGCACGTACTGCGAATGATCGTGGCTTCTGCGGTGGAGTGACTTTGCTGCCGACTTCGATACAGCTTAACGTGTAAGAAAATAGTTACGAATACACCTTTAATACGAACTAGATCATATCGAATTTTGTGGGAATTAATGGTAATATTAAACAAAAAATAGAAACATTTTAGTCTTAATAGTAATACTTCACCAATTACCCTGGCATAATAATTTAATTTATATTTTCAAATTTTCCTTGCTTAAAACAACCACTTTTGGTTACATAAATGGTTAGCAAACATTTTTAGTGTTAGAAGTATAATCGTAACTTTAAAATAACCTCGTTAAATAATACAATTTGATCTATATATAGTTTTTACCGATCTCACACTCAAAGAATGATTTTGAAATCAGCATTTTTATAAAGAAGTTACCTGACATGAACTCTCGGTTGCTATCGTTACTATGTGGATGAACTCCGCAGTTAACGTGAGCGCAGACGCGGCTGCTGCGACGTCAACGTCGACGCAGCCAGGTGTGCTGGCAGCTGTGTTTGTTAGTGTGTGTGCCAGAGAGATAGAGAGAGAGAGAGAGAGTCGCTCCACGTTGCTATAGATATACACGGGGAAAAATCACTACATTTTCCCAGAAAAACCTTTTCCGATCAATTACTATTCTAAGGATGAAAGGGAAAAGTTACTCAAATTAGGCCTTTTTCTAAAACCTTTAATAATTAAAATTTAACTGACGCAAGAATTGTGCACAAGTTAAACTAAAAATTACTGATCTGAAATTAATAATTAAGCTCACTTATAAATCAAATGCAGCTTATTTATATTTTGTGATAATGATCACCATTAGTTTAATTGGAAATTTAATAGATGCTCACTATTAATTAAAAGTAAAAATAATAATAGTGAGCACTGAAAATGCAAAAATATTCCTTTGTTATTAAATTGTTTTAAAAATTAAATATTGTATACAAGAGTAAAGTTATAGTTAATAAGCTCTGCTCATTAGGAAATGCAATTAAACTTGTACTTTAAAAATATAAATATCTAAAGACAATGTGAAGTTTTATTAAAGATTAAAGATTAAAGTTAATCAAAAGCTTTTGTTTTACATTGACAATATCTAATCTATCTATCTAATAATTTGTATATAAATTATATGCTATTTTTCCCTGTGTAACGATTTTGTCAGAACGATAAAAGAGCCATAAAACACGATGGATGCTTTCGGCTCAGCTTTCTGCCCTTCTCTGTTATCCACTTTGGGCTTAATTACTCGTTCATCTAAGTGTGTGTTTTATGTGTGCTTATATTTGGCAAATGTTTGAGAGCCAAAAGAAAAACAAAAGAAGTTTTTAGCTGATGGTACAGGTTGGTAAAAAAAAATTGGGAGTTCTTTACTTTTTGCAATATCTTAATGACTACAGTGAAGTTTCTTCACTTTAACAGAGAACTAAATACTTGCCGTTCTTGTTAAAAAGATCTGTAATTAATTACAAACTTACAATGAAATGATGAGTCACAACTCCATTGAAAACTTACAAACTGGGTTAGGAATCAGAGCCACATAAAAATATAATTCTCGTTACCCAATTCTTTGTGTCATTGAACCTGATTAACTTTTCTGTAGAGCTTTAAAAACATCATTTTTAGCTGTGCAAAATTATTAGAGGAAGGGAATTGGAATAATTCTAAGGGAAATGCTTGAATTATATTTAAGAATAATGATTAATGCCTAGTTAGTTATATTTCTTTAGAACATATCGTTTAAAAACAGACTTATTTGGTTGAGAGCTTGACTCTTTATCTTAATATTAAATTAGTTGGGGTAGTACCTATTGACATTAATTTATAGAATCGTAGGGAAAATCAGTCATAACAAAGCTTAAAAGTTTCGCAATTTTTAAATTGACATTTATGGATATTTGTTGTGACTATTTGTTGTACAAATCCAATTTTAAAAAGTTATAACTTAACAAAGGCAAAAATGCCTTCATTTTAAATCGGAAAGAAATTCTAGACTAGTTTTTGTAAGGTTAAAAAATCTGCATACTCAATTTGAAATTTAAAAAAAGTACAATTTTTACCAATTTTTGAAAATTTCAAGCTAGATCGACTTGCCTGTTAATGCTGATCAAGAATATATATGATTTATAGTCCTTCACTTAGTTTTAAGCTTCTGACTAACATTATAAACCTCCGAGGGTGTAATATATAATATATATTCCAAAATAAACTCAACTTTTCAATAATTTAGTCATTTAGCGACACCGAGGTCTCTGAAAGTAATAGAAAAATGCTTAAAAAAATCGTGTGGTACGTTCACAGCAACATTTTAAATTGCTAAATATAGGGTTCAAGAGTTTAAAAGAATTAAATATTATGTAGAATTGTACCAAAACTGTTTCTGGTTTGTTTGAAAACATGTATGTACAGCTGCCTGTTCTTTTGCGTCGTTCCATAAATATATTGGCAATACTTTTATAAATTTAGTTAAATATAATAATGATATTGATTAAAAGTATTTTCAAGTAACTTAAACTGTTTGCCTTCTTATTATTTCGCTTCTAATTAAGTTCATTAAAACCATAAACTGAAAGTATTTAATCTTATATACGTTATTATGACCTTAAGCAATTAATATATTTATTATATTTCATAATAATCTTGTATTGAGATTAATGGTTAATTGTATATATATTTTTTATATCCCCTATTTACTTAGTTTTCAGTACCGTCACATATTCTTATTAAAATAACATTAGCTTCTTATGTACACTTCTTTTATTTCGATTTTCGTTATATACATATATTGTCTTGTTATGTGTTTATACAATTCCATAGTTCTCTGAATGCATCCCGTATAATGTGATGGCATCAATAGAGTATTTCAACAATTTTCATATTTATACTATCCCATCCATAAATGTAACATAGTAACAAAATCATTATTTATTAACCTAACTAAACCAATTCAACGTTAAGGAACCAAGAAGATTAAAACTTACTATAGAAATACTAGACATAAATAAATGCATGCGAGTGTGTGTGTGTTAATGTTGGAATAAAATGCAATGCTGGTGATACTTAGAGAATCCTATAGAAGTGAGGGTGCTAATGAGGCGATGTTCCTTATATCAAACCAACTGAATGCGGGGACCAGACCACACTGAAGGCCCTGTTGAACATTCTCTTTAATTTATGCAGTCCAAAGAGCAGTATCCAATAGCACAGGATGAGCACAAAGATGCCCACAAAGGTCACCAGACAACGCTTGGGCTGATTCCAATCCAGAATGGGATATACGTAGGGATTGCCAAATCTGCAGGGTATAAGGTAAACTAATGAGTTTTAAATCGAATGCGGGTTATACTAGAACTCACTCATCTGTGCCTCCGCAAAAGTGATAGATGAGGGTGAACACAAAGAAAAAGATTGCCGCACTCATGCTGTACACCATGTGAAGGAGTCTCAAAGGAAATGCCACAACCAGGAAGTCAATTAGGATCATTACAGTATTTAGGCCATGGGTATAATGCTAATAGCCGGAAAGCGAGTGGGTTTGTCTGTTAAAGATCAAAAATGATTTAAATTGGGTCAATCTTAGGATCAGATAGACAACTCTACTCACTCATTCTGCCATGGAGAAACACCCAATAGACCGTTGATATAATCAATGCCAATGATAGGGTCATATTGTATAGCCACCAGTATATCTTAAGTCCCCTCGAAGTCTCCGCCTTTTTACCAGATTCCTGGACCAAACTCCTTGTGTTCCTCAGATCGAAATGCCAGCAGGTGACATGTACCGCAGAGATTAGCATAGTGATTGTTCCGAGGCCATATCCCCAGTTGGTCATATAGATGAAGAATTTGCCATCGCAGAACTGAATAATCATGCACATTATATAGACTCCCAGGAAGAACAGGGCCCAGATCCATCGATACAGCAAATATATTGTATTGGTGTCATCCTTTTGCCACTATTTGGAAAAGTAAAAGGTTTTAAATCAGTTAAATTTTTTTAAAGAAATATGTTGCACTTTAAATAACATACTAAATAATTAAGTAATTTGTTTCCACCACAAATAAAGTTTCAAACATTTTGTAATATGCGATTTAGACGTATTTGTAAGTTCTAAACTTACATTGTTGATGGTTAGATTATAGAGCTCTAAATGGAAATTTCTATTAGTCCTAATCGCGGTCAAATATTTAACCCTTGCACTATGATCTAATTTCAATTTACGTAATATATTAATTTTATATTCCACACCTTTGCCTGTTCAAATTAACAAAAACAAACCGTAAATGATTATGGCATCTCTTATCATGACTTTCTGCTTATCACTCCCAATGACGTAGTCAGAATCGGGCCTGTCTAGCTAGTCACACTTGTCCTTCGATTCAAAGTCTCTGTTTTACGCGTGCCTAATACTAATTAAATTAGTTTGATTTGTACTTAATTTTGTTTTATGCGGAAATGCAATCATTTGTCGATAGTCCCTGATTACGCGGTTCGCCATGGATATTTATGGACATCGGTCTGATAAGGTCTGGCCGGCATATTTATAGCGTTATGCTCCAAAACTATATTGCTATCTGGTTCCTTGTTTGTTTTGATTAGCTTTCTATTGGCAAAAATGTGTAATTCTTTTATGGCAGAATTCCCAGAACTTTTTGCGTCGCTCGTCTGGGGGTTAACTTTTTAGGGAGCCCATTGCGATCGGGTATTTTGAAAATGACTCAGAATTTGATTACTTTGATAAGCTGAAAAATATTTTTGTTTTTTGAAAGCCTCTTTAATGCAGGAGAACACTAAAAGTTAACAATTGCCTTGTTCAAAGTGCGCGGTATCTAGATAAAGTAAGATTGCCGACTTTTAACCAGTCAACACTTTATTTGTATAATTGTGGCTTAAATTCTGATGTTTATGATTTAGATTTTTGTGTGTCTGGCACAATACGGTTTCGATCAATATTTATAAAAGTTGCTTGTTTTCACAGCTTTCCATTCATAAACATTCTATTAAACTCCCAGCCAATGTGAGTTACACTTCTGAAGTTGCTATAGTTATATGTATACTCCACAAATGAATGATCTAACGATTGTAGGGGGCATTGCTTTTAGTTAAGCTACGCTAATTAAATTCGAGTGAATAAACATCGCCTGTGAGTGTATTTTCTATGCATGCTTCCACATTTCGTGTGTGTATTCACTCTAATTAGAACTTTTATGCATTCCTCCTTTAATTTTATGCTGTATTCTAACCAAACCAAGATGTTTCGATGTCTCCTATGACCCTATGTCACAGTGTTAATATAATATAATTCTTTTAATATTCATTCCTGACACTCGTTACATTTTACTCAGAGTTCTTTTATTTAATTTTTCTTGTGAACTTAGGTTCTTAGTTAATATTGTTAAGTGTTGCCTCCCCTTTGCTGATGGTTATTCTTATCAAAAATATTTTTTATACTGCACTTATCTAGGTGTCTCTCAGGTAGTTTAGAAGTACGTCACACAAATTCGCGGAATTTTTTTGTATAAGAATTTCGGGGTCACCATTCCCATTTTTTTGGGGGTTGTACCATAAGCCTGTTATACATATATTTACATATATATTTGTTTGTGTTTCAGAAACACGTGCCTGCAATGATGTCACACTAACGGTTAGAACTCCTCCAACATTCACTAATGACGGGGGACTTACAATGTCTTGGGTTTGTTTTATTTTTTGCTACTGCTATTTGAACTACTCGTATGATACACCTGAGCAGTTACAGCACCGATAAGGCTGCAGTATTTGGACTGTAATTAAGGGGAAACTCTCCTCACCTGCGATCTGTAGAACAGATGAACGCGATTGTATGAGAAGCCAAAGTTTGCCCGCTGCAGTTCCTTGTTGAAGCATTTGCAAAAGTCGTCGAAAAGTTGCATGATTTCATATATTTCTATTATGTTTAACTGTAATATGTTTTATTTATTTTAATCGCGAAACAGGATTTTAATTTAAGGGGAATTTTTCGAGGAGGGGAGACTTCCGACCTGAGTCGCTTGTGACCGGCAACTGGCGTTGAGAACCTTTTTCGTGTGACTTTGCCAGTGCTTTCTGAGTTATGTTTACGACGCGCACGAGCACCAAAAGAGAGAGAGAGAGAGAGAGGTATAGGGAGATAGAAGGAGAGAGAGAGAGTGAGTGGAGAAGGAGCAGAGAAGGAGGAGGAGGAGGAGCGTGTTCCCCGATCTTGAAATGGGGCTTTTGGGGCTTTTTCGAAGTCCGGAGGCGCGCTTACTCGTTCGATTCCCAACGACGAACTGACTGATAGATCGATCGATTCGTAACTCAAAGATCACTCCGGCGCACGATCACTTTGCACATCGGATGCCTAACGGGAAATGGGAAAACTGACCAGTGGCGCATCGGGCTTTATAGTTGCAATATCATTGCTTTATAGCGACATCGCCGCTAAATTCAATTAAATATGTGGAGCAGCCGCCCGCCAAAACGAGTGTCGGATGGCAAAAGCCGCCCATCTCTCTTGCTGGTGGGAATCGTTTTTTACACAAGATAATATTTGTATCAGTGATCACTATTGACAGCTGCGTATCGCCACTCACACACACATTTGTCACCATTGACCAGCATTGAACTTGAAGCCATAAAGGTCGCCCCAATTAAGATCGCCATTAAGCTGAACCACCCAAGAAAAAAAGTGCCAGAGTTCCAATTGCCGTGCAGCACTTGGCGATGACCTACATTATCCAAAAATGGCACAGACATCATACCCGTCTGGCGATAAGCAATACGGGGTAAAAGTTCGACCTTATCTAATCCACGGAGAGAGCTTTCACGCACTTCAAGAATCGCTAATTGGGTTTTAATTAAATATCGCTTCAGATAACAATTTATTATTGACTAAAGTTCAGTTTCACTGAGATTTATAAAGAGTTTTGTTTTTTATAGAAATTTACAATGCAAAGTGTTTGGGTTTTTAATGGAACCTTAATTTTTAGCAAGTATATTAATAATAATTGATTTAATCATTTAAAATCAATACAAATATATACAAAGAATTTTATCTGAAAATTGCTGAAAGTTAAATGATTTTTTTAATATTTATTTTATTCTAATAATATTGGGACTACGTTTTTATTTTTTTTTTTTATTGAAAAACAAGTAGATTTTGTAAAAAATTGTATTCTTTTGTATTTAATTTGTATTTAATATTATTTGTTTGTTTATTGGCAAACAAGTATATTTCGTGGAAAATAATATTGACGTAAAAGGGCGTTTACGCGATAATAGTTTTTATGAAGACCATATGTTATTGCAGTGCCTTTCTAAAGAAATATTTTGTTTTAGATTTGATCTTTATTTATATTTTGTTCCAAAGAAATAAAGTTAATTTAAAATTTGATCAGCTGTATTCGCAGATTGAAAACATTACTCAAAAGCTTTTAAGGCAACAATTAGGAAAAACCGGTTATTTACGGAATATGTGTACTAAAGTAGATATTAATCAAATATAATCAGGGGAATTAAGTCGTCGTATTTATTTGCTACCCTGTTGAGATAGGCAAAGACCATCCATATATACATATATCCATCCGACTCTCTTGCTGGCATATTTGTGCAATTGAAATTGAACCGTTTATTAAACGTTCCAGCATCGATTACATATCGACATTCCGGCTAATTTGCATATCATTCCCGGTGTCGATTTCGGAGCCCGCCTCCGGTTATAACTCATCGGAGGGGTTACGGGTTCGTTACCCCAATATCTGACCTTGCCATTGGACGGACGGGAATCACAGATCGAAAGTGTCGTCGGCACTTGTTGTAAAGATAGCCGTGAAGACAAATTGAAATTGGTTCTTTATTGCATAAATAAATTATAATTGAATTTCGATTTCAAGAAAAACACATTTCAAATTGACACTTTGCACAATTTCTTCTTCGGTGGGAATCAAGACGATTAATTGAACGATTGACCACGAGTTTTGCTTTTTAAAGGAATTTTCCAGATGAGCAACAGACGGCGTGTTTTCTGATTACATTAAATGGAAACCAGAGATTAGTTGTTTTGTAAACATTGGAAATTTTTTGGATTTAAGTAGCGCAATGGAAATTCAAGTAGCCTCCCCTCATCATCAAGTAAACAATGGAAAGTATGGGAAATTTTCCAACCTTTAGGGAATGAAGAGCTGGAAGGAATTGGAAACTTATAAATATAAAGTGCTTGTTTTATTGTCTTACGTTTAACATTTAAGAAACACCCTGTATTTCCCAAAAGCTTTTTAAAAGTTCTTAAACAATTTGCTCAGTTTGTCAATATTCTCAGGTAATCTATGATTCATTACACTGATTAACACACGACTAACTAACATAAATAATAGGTAATAGGAAATTAAATATATACAATATATTTGCAGGGTATTCCAACTTTAGTAAATAGCTTGTAACCCTGTGAAGGAAACTTTTCCGACTCTATAAATCATATATATTCTTGATCAGCATCAAAAGCCGAGTTGATCTAACCATGCCCGGTCGAAATATAAATTTTCAAATATTTTTCAAAATATTTAAAAAAAATTATAATTATATGCAAATTTGTTTACCGTCTAAAAACTAACAAAGAAAAGCTTTCCGAATTGAATTTAATGCATTTTTTGCTTAGTTTTGATATTTTGTAGCATCATGGAATTGTCAAAAATTCATAAATATTTTAAATATTTAAATATTGATGTATTGAAGAATATAGTGAAGAATATAGTGGTTTCCGAATAAAAGTCATGATCATCATATATGGCTAACTGAAAGGTTACCTCCCTTCGTTTTTAATAACTTTTTATCGAAAATCCCTTGATTCACTTTTTAATACCTTTAGGAACATCATTTTTCTAATTTTTTGTTTAAGAAACCACAAATTACACTTCCGCTTTGTCCTACTGAAATTCACCCCAAAAATTCTGGAACACATCTTAAGATTTTCGAAATCTAGTTATGTTTTCTCAGTTAAAAAATACTTAACCGAGTACCGGTAAGGGACCTGTTTAATTTAATTCTTTAGATTGGCTTGCCGGAAAATAAGCTTTTCTTAGAAGGGACTTAATCTTACCCATAAATTTCCCCAGTTAATATTTTTAATATTAACCGTTTATTGGAATTAACTGTTCGCCGATTGAATAGTTTTTTTTTTTGCGAACTCTTATCGCTTCCAAGTCTGGTGGGAACGAGTCTGACAGCACTTGATTTGTCACAGAGTGAAAACCACCGACACTTGAGGAATACGGGGGTTTATCAATAGGTTTATGACCGAACGATATGCATATGCGAAAATTCCCAAAAATGTTAAAAAATTCACAATCATCGATTGGACTCCACCCAATTTGGGATATTAATGAGGTGGGAAAATTCCCAGCCATGGGCCGGTGTAAAAGTTCAATTTGGTCTAGGCATCTGCTGAAGCTTGTCCACATCCACGTCCGAGTTCCAGGCCTTATCGGGGTGGCGTACGAATTAGACATAAACGGTGCTCGTTCGGGTGATAAAGACCGAGATAGCCGGCGGAGCGGTTCCTATCACACTCCACGATTACCTCGATTCTGGCCGAAACGATTTGCGGAAAACATGGCCCTCGACTCCGGGTATACGACACCTGCGACACATGGTTCCGCCAGTCTGCGATCTACCGGCGAGTCAGTCACCTGCTCTGGACTCTTTTGGCCCTCCTAGTCCAGCGAACCCGACGACGCATCCACCCAGCCTCGAGTATGCGGGATAAGAGTGAGGAGCCTTGCTGTCTGCCCCTCAAGGAGGAGTTCCAGCGTTCAAAATTCTCGCTGCATTACGATGATCCTGGTGCCTTCTGCCGCTCCCAGTGGCAGAGGGGGGATCGCAATCTGATCTGGCTTCTATATCGATGGGTCCTGGCAGCGTTCTTTGCTGGCGGAGTCATTGGCAGCATGGTGAGCTCCTTTAACGGTGGACGCTGGTTCATCTATCTGACGGATTGGGGCTTCTCGCTGTGCTTCTACTGCTGCACCTATGGCGCTGTTTTGGCCACGATTTACTTCATCAGACCCTCCTATTTTGGTGAGTAATAGCCTGGCGGCATTCATTCATTTCTTTTCTTATCATTTCATTTAACATATACTATTTTTCAGCTCCTGGAAGTTGGGGCCTAAAGATCTATTGGATTTCTCACTATACAACTGTGGTGCTTGCCATGCTGATTACCTTGGTTTTTTGGGCTGCTCTCTATCCTTGTGAGTTGAACTTATTAATTATTACCGAATAATTACTAATAATAAACAAATATCTTTTTTAGCAATGCCTGAAATGGGAGCTGAGCTGTACAATTTGTGGGCTCATGCCTTTAACTCGGTTTGCATGATCTTTGACTGCTTTATGGTGGCATTTCCAACCCGGATCATGCACTTTGTGTATCCTTTTACAGCTGGCATCACCTATGGGATATTCTCCTTGATATACTTTTGGTCCGGCGGAGTTGATCCGTAAGTATAAATACGAACTAAGACAAGGAGTCTATTGCTAACTTTCTTACAAATCCACAGGATGGGCAATCGATTCATCTACTTCATCTTGGATTGGGAACGACCCGGTCTGGCCATTGGAACTGTTTGTGGATGTGTGGTGTTGGTTAGCTTCTTTTGTGTGCTGGTATTTGGTTTCTATAGATTACGTATCTCAATGCAAGAATGTTGCTGTAGAAAACCTGAGGAAATCCCAGCCACGACAGCTCCTCCTCCTATTGAGCCAAGGCATGTTGCTTGAAAATTCTAAAGAATTCTTCTAAAAGAGTTTTAGAAAAGCAATAGAAGGGTTATTTGATTTCTTTGTGGAATCCTAAAGATAGTCCTGCCACCGGTTCATTAAGTATCTTAGCTTTTACAGTCTCTGGCGGAGAAGGTATTAGCCTAAAATGGTAAAAAAAGAGTGATCAAAAATATTTATTAGAAATATCAACCAATAAACCATATTCCATAACAACACTAGGTTATTAAATTAATCTTACAGTCTTATACATTCTAATGTTCCTAAAATGTTATTTAAATTAGATAAAACTTGGGAAATACTTATCGAATTTTTATTATTATGAATGCCAGACAATGATATCTGATATTTAATGTTCGTCAGATAGTAGAACCTGGTATTTTCCTACTAGTGAATTGGCTTATGTCAATCAGCTAAGGTTTATATGTACTGACATCAACATTGGGTCTATGTTTGTACATAAACTTATCACCTACAAATTGATATTCCCGCCGGTATCAATGGCAATAACAAGTCTTTTGTAATATTTCATATTCGTACACATTTGAGACAGGTTGATAGTGGCTATACAAGTGTTAAACTAATAATCCCTATCTTGGAAATTTTACTTATTGATAGTTGAATTCTGATTTGCTTAAAACTTGTTTAAACTAAACTGCTTTATATATAACTATAGTTAATTATCTAGAGATTTAAATCATTGCAAGAAAACTAGTAAATGCCGCGTCACTAGAGGAAAGAACATACGACACTTAAAAGTTATCACAAGTACTTTACCAGTTTACGGCTTTACGACCATCACCTGCATATGCAAACATATATACATATGGAAACCCCGAAAAATGTGCTTCTAAATTCCAATAATGGCTAAAGCGACTGCGCTAGAAAGGAGATTAATGTTCCTCGTCTCGAAGTTCGATTTCGTTGACCGCTCCAAACCGACCTTGTCCACGTTGGGGGTCTTATCGGGGGCGTGCACCACTGCCGAATCAGTCATATACGTTGCTCACTAGGATGATAAGGATCGTGATAATTCAGACGGCGTGTATCGCACCATTCAAGCCGAAACAATGTGCGGGAATGTGTTGGCCCCTATTAATGACTATTGAACACCTGGGCCGCTGTCAGTCTGCATTCTACCGGCGAAGCAGTAACTTCTATTCGAAGTCCTCCAAATCCAGTTAGCCGAAATGGTCGATAAAAGCCAGGAATCCTGCTGTCAGCCCTTGAAGGAGGAGTTCCAGCGCTCGAAATTCTCGCTTTATCATGAAGATCCCGGAGTCTTTTGTCGCTCGCAATGGCAAAAAGGAGACCGAAATATAATTTGGGTTTTGTACCGATGGTTTCTGGCCGCTTTCTTTGCCGCTGGCGTTATCGGGAGCATGATGCAGGACTTTAACGGCGGTCGTTGGTTCATTTTCCTTACCGACTGGGGATTTACACTGTGTTTATTTACCTGTACGTTTGGGGCTGTAATCGCAACGATATACTACATTAACCCCGCCTATTTCGGTATGTAAAAATTGCAGTATAAAGTCCATTTCGTATGACCCATTTGCACTGCAACTTAAGTGTTACTTTTAAGTTATATGAGAACATTAATACTTGTAGAACCTGGCAGTCGATCCCTCAAGATTTACTGGATCTCTCACTATACAACATCTGTGCTATCAATGCTGATTACGCTGGTCTTTTGGGCCGCTCTTTCATCTAGTAAGTTGTACCAAGGACCTTATTATCTTTGGTTGGGAAGTATTAAAGACTTATCCATCCGTAGCCCAGCCTGAAATTGCTGGAGAGCTGTATAACCTGTGGTGTCATGCCTTCAACTCGATATGCATGGTCTTCGACTGCTTTATGGTGGCCTATCCCGCTCGTCTCCTGCATGGTATCTATCCCCTTTCCGTAGTGCTTATCTTCCTGGTGCACTCATTGATCTACTATTGGGCTGGCGGCACTGACATGTAAGCGGTGGCTTTTTAATTGTTCTAGTGCACTTCTTTTATTGTTAATCCAACAGGGATGGAAATCGGTTTATTTACTACGCCCTGGACTGGGCACGTCCTGGTCTAGCAATTGGGTTTGTTTGCGCCAGTCTGGCTTTGATTTGCTGCTTCTCCCTGTTGGCCTTCGGCATCTACCGCTTGCGGTTGTCGATGTACAAATGTTGCGGAAAAAGTCAAGAGGAATCACAATCAACAGAAACTGCTCACAAGGAATCATCTTTAGCTGTTTAATTCATTTTTTGATCAATTTTAATCGGTTTAAAGGTTTTAGAATAGGGTAGTTAAGCCATTTTCTGGACCACCGCGAACTGCAGTGATTGGATTTGGTTGGACCACTTCTCCAGGGCATTGTAACGCGATGCACTGCTATTGATTTTATCCAGCTGAAGCACCTGGTTGACCTGGTCGATGCGTCCCTTAATAGTGCTGAAGAAGAAATAAATATAAGTTGAATTCTCAGCGCCGTCAAGCGTTTTCTTACTCATCCAGGATGCAGGAGACTAGTAGACTCTCTACCTCTGCTGGCTCGATGTTCAGGGCATTGGCAATGAAGGGTATAGCGATGTTCTTGTAGGGTCTAATCAGTTTAATGAGCACCTGAGTGCGAATGTTGCGCAATAGGTCCTCGATGTGTTCCCGAATAAACTGATCAGCCATTATGTTGCTCCGGTGCTGACGCAGGATGGTCTCGAACTCGTTGATGTCATTGTTCTGGTAGGAGTTGACGAGATTAGTCATGGCCAGGATCTCGGGATCGTTTTTGTACGGCTTGGCCTCCTGGGAGTCGAATGGATTGATGCCAGATTTCATCAGCCTTAGAACGAAATGGAACTATTATCTCCTTGAATTATTAGTATTTGATTTAAACTCACATGTTAGCCAAAACCAAGTACTTCAAGCAGGTGGTTCTACGGGGAGAGCCGCTCTCATCGTAGTTCTTGAACGCCTCAAAGAAGTCGGTGTGTGCCTTTTCGAACTCTCCCTCCCGAAGATGCATTTTTCCACCACACTCACGGATCACGCCCATGATCAGGGGATGTGGAATGGCCGACTTAATGTGAAGGGACTGCTCGTAGAGTGCCTTGAGCTTTTTGTTGTTCTTCTGCACCGTGTACATCTGGATCTCTAGGGCATATATCTCCAGCAGTTGAGTGCCCTTCTTTAGATCGTCCTCGCCGTCGTCCGTCTGGCAGCTTTGGTGCAGCTGTTTGAGTATTTTCTGCAGCTTTGTAAAGTCGTTGCGATCAAAGTACAGCTTGCCCAGCTTCGTGTTGGTCTTGAACCAAAGACGATCGTTCTTGGCATCGCGCAGGGCGTCCAATGTGGTTTCGTAGAAGTTCTGGAGCAAGCCCATCTGGAAATCAATTTGAGTTAGTTAGCTCCTCTCTGATTACTTGCTTTTTAAATACTTACATTCTTTGATGTGGATATATAGTCCAGGATGGAATTGATGCTCTTTTCCGAGTGGTTTCTGGTCACAGCACTTTTAATATACGTTAGTAGCTGCTTATAGCGCACCATCATCTCATCGTAGTTGCACTGTCCAGAGATAGCATTATAGATACTTGTAATGATTATATTTGTACCTTCTTACCAGCCTAAAGTTGATTTTAATCATTTGCTTCAGCGCCTTGAATCCCCATTCCCCCTTCTCGCCGTTCTCCAGGTCGAGCACCTTCTGGAAACTGGCCAAGGCAGCCTTGGGCTCCTCCTCCTTCAGCGCCTTGCTGTTGTAGTACTGATTCTCCAGATCCACATCCGGTTCCGAGTTGCTGTCCTCGGAGTACTCCTATAAATGGTAAATACAACAAATTGAGACACCAGAAGCCGGCAGCAACACCGGGTTTCCCATGCTGTACGTACCAGTCCATAATCCTCGTCGTCGTCGCACATGAAATCGTCATCATTGTCCGACATTTTGCAGCTTCGAATATAATATATACTTGGCAATCAAATAATTTAATATAATTTTTGTATTTTGCAAAAACACAAAGCAGGATTTGTTGTGACCGTCCAATTGTTTAGTTAAAATGCCGAGAACGGAGTCTTAAACTCCCCAATTTGGTCACACTAAAACAAATGGCAACGCTGCCAATTTATTTTATTAATATCGGACCATCTTTTGTTTAAATCGCGTAAAAGTAATCGAGGCTGACATGAGGGAAAACTTTTATATTTTCGTGGAAATAATTCGGAAAACCTTAAAATAAAGCTTGTTAAAAAAGACGGTATGATACAGTGTTGCCATGTTGGCCCAAAAACATTGCACAGTGCAGCCGGAATGACTTTTTAAAATTAGTTAAGTGAGCTGATGTGGCAACTCTGGCATAGATATCTCAAACAAAACAACAAAAAATGAGGTAAACAATTAGCATATTTGTTAAATATGTGAATTACTTCATTTAAATACACAAAAAACCCTCAAAACACACACAGCCTGACAAAGAGACTCCTGCACATCTTTCCCCGTTGCAGTTTTCCCAAGAGAACACATCCCTCCGCGGACCGGAATTCCCAGCCAATTTCCGAGGCTCTTCTGGCGCAAGTTGACCGGGAAACAAAGAACTTGCAGCTTCTAGAGATTGCGTCCGGATCGGGACAACATGCTGGATACTTGGCACCGCTGCTGCCCAACATCTCCTTCCAGCCGACGGAGTACGAGAGGCAGCAGCTGGAATCCATTTCCGCCTACGCAAAGGATTGCCCCACCGGAAACATTCGAGAACCCTTATGTGTGGACATCACTCAGGAACCCAGAGATTGGGAAGTGCCTCCAGCACCGGCCAGCTTTGATTACATGTTCAACTCCAACATGATGCACATCAGTCCTTGGTCGTGTTCCACCGGACTCTTTAGGGCTGCCGGGCAGCTGCTGAAGAAAGGTGGCAGAATGTTCACCTACGGACCCTATGCCCTGGACGGCGTCCTCACGCCGCAGAGCAACGTAGATTTCGACAAGAGTCTTCGCAGCAGAGATGCCTCCTGGGGTGTTCGCGACATCAAGGACCTGAAGACGGTGGCACTGGAAAATGGCCTGCAACTGGAGAAGCTGGTGGAGATGCCCTCCAACAACAAGTTTCTGACCTGGCTTAAGCTGTAAAATAGTGCACTAAAATACGACAATTGATCGATTACCCTCTTAGATAACGTCAATGGAGTAGAGTAGTTAATGTCGTTTATTTCGCGGCAATAAAGTTTATTGGCGGCCAGCTCATCAAACTAGGCCAAGTGGACAATGCGAGGTGAGGCGAGTGTGCAGGGATTGACCCTGAAATCGCGGTTGATAGTCGGCCTGATTGATTGGTGGGTGCTATATAAGGGTGTATCGGATTGAACCTGCAGCATAAGCGATCGGACATTGGAGACTCTGACATGGAACGGACCATTCTTCAGCTGCTTCTCATCGGGATTCTCCTGGCAAATCTAAGCCTGGCGGCCACAGTGAGACGACCACGCCTGGATGGACGCATTGTGGGTGGTCAGGAGACGAATATACAGGACATTCCCTATCAGGTCTCCTTGCAGCGGGGCTATCACTTCTGCGGCGGTTCCCTGATCGCCCAGGGTTGGGTCCTGACTGCCGCCCACTGCACTGAAGGCTCTGCGATACTGCTCTCCAAGGTCCGGATTGGCTCCTCGCGGACTGCTGACGGTGGATTGGTGGTGGGAATCAAGCGAGTCCATCGACACCCCAAATACGATGCGTACACCATCGATTTTGATTTCTCGCTTCTCGAGTTGGAGGATTATAGCGCACTGAATGTGACCCAGGCCTTTGTGGGACTTCCGGAACAGGATGCGGACATTGCAGATGGCACTCCTGTCCTGGTTTCCGGTTGGGGAAACACTCAAAGTGCCCAGGAATCCACGGCCGTGCTGAGAGCTGTAACAGTGCCGAAAGTAAGCCAGAGGCAGTGCACAGAGGCCTATGGAAGCTTTGGAAGTATCACGGATCGCATGATCTGCGCCGGATTGCCCGAAGGCGGCAAGGACGCCTGCCAGGGTGACTCTGGTGGTCCGCTGGCCGCTGACGGTATCCTTTGGGGCGTCGTCTCCTGGGGCTACGGATGCGCCAGACCCAGTTATCCGGGAGTTTACTCGAGAGTTGCCTCGGTTCGCAATTGGATAAGCTCAACAAGTGGTATTTGAGATGTTAGAGGAGTAAAGTGTATTGTTCGCTTCCAAATAATTTAATTAAATAACAAAATTCGTATTTTTGAAACTAAAGCTAGGTTAATTGTATTCTTGTTTCAATTGAGCCTTAGTTAATTAATTAAGGGCCGAAGAATAAGTATGATAGTATAATTAGATTAGCGGTCAAAGGTACCAATACTTTCCAAAATGAACTAGTTAGTTAGTTAGTTGTTCAGTCTAACATTTTATCAGTCTCCTTAAATTGCCATGTTTTTTTGCTTTGCTTTTGAGACAAATTCAATCAAAGAACTTGTGGCACTTGCCTTGGAAGCAGCTGCTCCTCCGACGGTCCATTCATCATCATGTTCAACGGAAGCCAATTGACCCAGAAAAAACCTTAAAGCCAAATATTGACACAGTCTACAGAGAGAAGAAGCAGGACTGACCACATCATATCCATAACTGCAGACAGAGACGAAGAGCAAATTTACTTAATGATTGGCCCAAAGGCAAATAAAAGTTCACAGGAACAAGAACAGGAGAGAGGCAAAGTTGTCATAGGTAAAGTGAATTGATTGGGGGGTAGAATGCCATAAGTTTCCATTTCGAGTGCCGCCCAGATGCCGGTTGGTTTTCATTCTTGATTGCTATGCCCCCTTTTGGTCGGTTTTCTTTTCGTTTTGGTCTTCCCAGTCACTTTCCAGGACGCACTAATTGTTGATTAAATGCTGCAAATTGCTGCGAGTGTTCCTATTCTTGGTTGTGTTTCTCCCGGCTTTTCCTGTTGACGTTTTCGGTTACCTTTCGCCCATCTACGGTTGTCAAGGCAGTTAGCACGGCGACCACAGGTGACGGAGGGGATCGAGGCGGGGTGGGGTGCAAATGGTCCAGCCGGAAGGTGTGTCTCTGTGTGAACCTTCCCTCGTGTCCTTTGGGTCATTGCAATTTTGCACGTGAACTGGTTAACAGCAAGGAGCCAAACACAAAAAAGAAGAACTCAAGACATGAACTGCAAATTGAACGGTTATGTCGAGATGGGTTACAAGGCAAACTTTCTATGTGTTGGCTTTCTCCGAATGAACTCATTGGAATGAACTCCAGTGGCTTGCGGTACAGCATACTTTCTATAACTTTACAAGGGGTATTTTAATTTTAGTAAGAAGCATACAAAAGTATATATATTCTTGATCAGCATTATTAACCTAGCTCATCTCATTATTGTTACATCGATTTTTATTTCAACTCTAATAACAGTTGTCGAATGTTATTGCTATAACTGAGTATATAAACATCGGCTAAATTAAGGCACATTGCTTGTTAAATTTAAATTAAGTTTGTGGTAAATATTCATATTCCTACCTACGACCAGCGTAAAATTAAACCCAAAACATTTTAAATAAAAAAAAAAATAAATTTAATGCAATGTATTAAGTAATTAATTAAGTAATAAAGTAATGCCTGCTTTCATTTGATTCCCCGTTTGGCATTCTCCTCTAGTTTTAACGATCTTTTGTATGACAGCTATATTATATTGTAGTCCGATTTTCATAAAATTTTACAAAAAACTCTAGGTTAATATATAATTGAAATATATCAAATTCTATGAAAATGTGTTGAAAACTGGAAAGTTATAATTTTTTTTCCTAAAATTTTCCGATCGTTCCTATGGAAGCTATATATGGGCAATTCTCCAGAAACGTGCACCGCGTCCAAAAACTTAAAATTGCTTAAAAACGAGTATTTTTAACATGATTACATTAAAAATTGGTCAGGATGATCAAGACTAAGAGAATTTTTCATTTTCTAAATTAAGTTTCAAAAAAATCGATGTCAAATACGCGCAAACGCAAAAAATGTTGTTTTTATCAAAAATCGGCATAAAAAATGGGATGTTTTGTTTTGATGCCAATCTCTTAAACCGAAACATTTTGCTTTAACTTTTGGTTTCTAAAATGACATAAAAAACCCAAAGATTCAATATTAAGTGCAAAAGGACATATCCGATCACCAATATTCGTACAGTTTCAGTTTGAATTAGCGCTTTCCAAACTGTCGCGTGCGACATGTCGCGTGCGACCGGGACTAAAATTGAATTTAAAAAATAACTACTTAATATTTTAAAATCAAACAAAATACGTTAGTAAGATAATTCATTGCGTAATTCATTAAAATTTATTGTACTACAATTTTTCATCACGTTTCGCTGAAATCATAGCTTTAACACGTTTTTTTCAAATGTAACTTCTATTTTTGTCGCGTGCGAACGCAGTACATTTTAGTGAATATCTTGAAAACAAACAATGGTTCAAAATCGACCTTTGCACCAATTATAGTGCTAACCAAGAGCTATACGTTTCAATTTTTATAAAATTAAAATAAAGTCTTGGCACATGTGTTTTTTTAGTTTGAATGCGTACGAATGTCGCATTCGACACCAGAGAATTGCCCATATATGTATATTCATATATAGTCCACCGATTTGTCATGCCTTGACTTATATACTAGTAAAATTATATAGTAGAATAACTCCATAATTTAATTCAAATAGCTTTAATTTGTTCCAAAACAAATCTCGCACATCTGTGCATATGATTCCCAACTCGTTCTAACATCCCCGGAACGAAGTGACTTGTGCTGGCCGAGGATCAGAAATGTGTTGTGTTACAAAAGTTGCAAGTCATTGCTTATTAGTGTTCAAAGTTAGTAACTGATCATACATACTTAATGGGTATAGATACTTACTGGTCAAATATAATTACTGGTCTTAGATATTTGCTGTTCAAAGTTACTTACTGCTCATAGTTACTTAATGCTCATAGAAACTTACTGATCGTAGTTAATTACTGGTCATATTTAATTACTGATCATAGTTCTTTAAATCGTCCGATTGTTCAGATGTTAGCTATATGTATGTACATATCTATATATAGTCCACCGATTTGCCATGCCTTGACTTATATGCTAGTAAAACTATATAGAAGAATAACTCCATAGTTTTATTCAAATAGCTTAAATTTGTTCCTAAACAAATCTTGCACATCTGTGCATATAATTCCCAACTCGTTCTAACATCCCCGGAACGAAGTGACTTCTGCTGGCCGAGGATCAGAAATGTGTTGTGTTACAAAAGTTGCAAGTCATTGTTTATTAGTGTTCAAAGTTATTAACTGATCATAGATACTTACTGGTCAAAGATAATTACTGCCCATAGATACTTAATGTTCAGAGTTACTTACTGCGCATAGTTACTTAATGTTCATAGACACTTACTGATCATAGTTAATTACTGGTCATAGTTAATAACATGTCATAGTTTTATAAATCTTCCAATTGTTCAGATGATAGCTATATGTATGTACATATCTATATATAGTCCACCGATTTGCCATGTCTTGACTTATATACTAGTAAAATTATATAGAAAAATAACTCCATAGTTTCATTCAAATAGCTTTTATTTGTTCCAAAACAAATCTCGCACATCTGTGCATATGATTCCCAACTCGTTCTAACAATCCCGGAACGAAGTGACTTCTGCCGGCCGAGTAGCAGAAATGTGTTGTTACAAAAGTTGCAAGTCATTGTTTATTAGTGTTCAAAGTTAGTAACTGATCGTACATACTTACTGGGCATAGATACTTTCTGGTCAACGATAATTTCTGCCCATAGATACTTACTGTTCAGAGTTACTTACTGCTCATAGTTACTTAATGTTCATAGACACTTACTGATCATAGATAATTACTGCTTAGAGGTAATTACTGATATATAAATTGTTATACCGTGCAGGGTATTATAATTTTAGTCAGAAGCTTTCAATTTAGTGAAGAAATCATCATCAAAATGGCTTACAAAATGATTAAGAGAAGAAATCATTTTAGACCCTTAAGGATGGCTTACATATTTTTAAATCTTTTTCTTAAAATTAGTTTTTTAACGTGTTCATCAATCGTCTGAAAGCAATTCACCTCTAATATTAATATTAAATACACCTATAATATGTGTTTAAAACGGCGTAGTTGCACGTGGCCAGCTCACTCCGGAATTAATTGCTTGTATTAATCACTAAGAATAATAAATATTGTGCCATTTCTAGCGAAATTCGATTTCATCCAAACATTGCGAATTTTTATTATAGGTGCTGACAATTTTACAAATTAAGTGGTTAAGAAATCGTTCAGCACTTCCTTGATTTCTTAAGAAATTTAGCAAATTTATTAAGCAAATATAATGTTTTTATTTGGATTTTATTCTTCTGCAGTTAAAAAACATATTTCTATTCATTTTTCATGTAAATGAATAAAAGTGAAAGAGGTATACAACTTTTTATAACTATGTACACCTTTTTTACTTTATTAATTTATTTATGCAAAAGTGAGTTGAACTACAGAATATAAAAATATAAATAAATTACTTAATGGAATAAAGCTTAATAAATTATTTATTAGAACCCTTCTCTTCGAGGTCCGATTGACATCGCTGAGTTTATCCTTTAAAGTGCTTGAGCCTTTTTCAGTAGTGGCGACCTCTACTAACGACTTGTGGCAGTACTTAAGCCGCTTTTGTTATTGTTTTTCTGGCTTGGTTTTCCCATTTCCCGCTTGTTTTCCTTTTTTTCACCCCCGTTTGTTGTTCATGGGAGCCACCGAGACATAGAAAATGTAAAATTTGTTTGTTTCCTTTCATTGTTGTTGAAAGTTTTTGCAGCTGCTGCAGACAATGCAATGAGTCGGGTCCTGTGTAGGAGCCCCTCTTCGGTCTCTAATTTTATCTCTTGTCCTGCCATGGGGACTGTCTTATTATTATAGTTCGTCGATTTGTTTGCACTGAAGTCTGCATTGTTGTTCTCCTAGCTGGTCCGCAGGCGGACTTGTGTGTATGTCCAGCTGGCCCAATAACATTCGATTGTAATAAATTATTCTGCAGCTTTTGTAATTTGTTATTTGGAAGACAAATATTGTTGCTGGCATCAACAAAAAAATCCATTAAAAACTTGTTTATGCAACGACAAAGCGCATGCTAATGAGGAGGTCCTAGTTTCCTTTTTAAATAAAGATACCAATTAGGTGGTATATTTACCGTGCTAGGTATTTTATTAAGCCTTAACATTCCAGTTTTTATAAGGAATAAAATTAGAAATATCACCGGATATTATTAGGGACCATAGAAGATAATTTAAATCATTTATTAATCAATATAGCTTAAAGATATGTATTTATCTTTTAATTTTTTCAATAAATTGCTTAATGCATCAATTTATTTCTAGCATGTACTTTAAACGATATGGGACTTTAAATAGAACGTGAAAGGACACTAATTTCGCAAAGCCGAAGTTTGATTACTCTTGCAATTTGCGATTCGATCATAAGATCGATTGGAAAAACAATCATAACTAAGCCTAAAATGCATTAATTTAAGTCCTAGTGCTAGTTTTTATTTGGTTAAAAAATCTGCATACTCAATTTGGTCTTTTAAAATTTAAAAATTTGAAATTTTGTGTCAATTTTTGAAAATTTTAACGATGTAGCCCCTTCATTCCTTCACTGCGATTCAAGCTTCTGAATGAAATTATAATATCTGAAAGGGTATAACAATATGTAAATTCAAATAAATAAATATGCATGCATTCAAGTTGCTAAATATTCTCCAGATATTTTCAAGTTAGGCCAAAATTGTATGCAAATATATAATAGAAAAATTAAATACATCTGCTTCTGGGCCATAGAGACTTGTCTATGGCTTCTTTGGATGGCCTACGCGACGTATGCTTGATCTGCCGGGATGTTGTGGCCTTAGTTCGCTGTCGCTGTGAGTGTGTGTGTGTGTGGGTTTTTTATGGAAATAATATTCTTGTCAGGATTAAAAAGGATACGTGACCGGAATGCGAATGCAATGTGCAAGCGGAAATGTGGCCGGGACCGGCAAGGAGCGGAACAAAAAGCGGAAAAAGTAGACAAACAGGAGCCGCAACAGGACTAAAATGTAACTGTCAGACTCGTCGACTTTTGCTATCGTTGTCGCCTGTCGCATATCTGTATCTATGCTTGTGTTTGTATTTGTCTTGCCATCCCTCTGAGCCACTTCCCCACCGCCATCATCATCATCATTTTGATGCTTATCCTTGCTTATTGTCCTGTCAGAAAAGCTCGCTGCTCCTTGTTTTCCACTACACTTTTTCGTTTTGTTTCCTTTTTAATTTTTAAGAAAGCATATTGTAATTCCGTTGTTTACCTGTTTGGACACACGGATACACGTATTTTTTAAAATCTCGACCGCAGGCGATCCCCAGTTTTTTCCCAGATTGGAGTGTCCCCAGTGTCCCCTCTTAGTGGCTCCTTTGCCACTGCACTTAGTCATTTGTCCTGTCATTTGTAATATTCCCTACGCATCCTTGACAGCGGCTTAGGATTCTGGTTGCCACAGTTGCTGCTTAGCTATTCGTGGCATGTCCTGGGCAATGGCCACGATTGTGATGTATGATTTTCAATTTCACCTACGGCAAGTCCTCTTCAAATTTACTTGGCTGGAAAACAAAAGAAAAAGTGACTACTTCGTTCTGGGAGCTTATCCTGGGCTTATCAAGGCGGCTCAGCTAGGTACGTGTTTTTTTTTTTTTTTTTTAATTTGTATCAAATAATGATAACAGAGATGTTTACCAATTGAAGTGTTTGGAAAACAACTACATGTCATACTTGTACTACCTTGATGGGCATATTTAAATTTTAAATGTGTATATTCATAAGGTAGAAGATGAGAGAGAAGCTAAGTTTTATAAAAATTTACTTTTAATGTCTCTTTTTCTTTAGTATTCAATCAAATTGTATTATCTCTAGCTATATCTAATGTAATCACCGGTATTATAAAAAAGTTCTTTACATAATTTTATATTGAGAAAATAGTAAATAATAAAAATAAATAATACCCAAATGTAGGCCAGTCTTATCAATTTAGGCATTGATATGGATTAAGTATGATATCATATATGGGGGTTTATAGAGCAACCAGCAATCTAACAATCCAATGTTGCACTATATGAAATCATTTTAATATTATATTATGCTTACTGAAATTATATTCGTAATATACTTCGATATCGCTATTATTTTTCACCTTTGTTTAAACTGATATAAATCACTGTGAAGTAGTACCTTTCCCTAGTTCTTTAAAGTAGTTTTTCTTTGGAAATTTATATTTGTATAGGGCGTATAAAGTGCATTCCATCGATCAATAGAAACCCCCCCATATTTATATTTAGTCAACATTTCGAATACGTTGCCCTGACTCAAACAGGCTAAGAGGCGTGCTGATAAACAAATCTTATCTATATTGCCAGCATAAAATCGGCTTTTATTATTGACGAGGGACCGATAAATGAGCAGACTAGAGGTGCACTTGATTCAGTTTCTTTTTGAACCGCTTGGCGAACAGTTGTATTTAAATAATAAACCCCCATCGATATGTGGAAGAAAGTGACTTTCTGTGCCGTCCTTGTGGCTTTTCTGGGCTTTCAGTTTGGTAAGGGAGAGATGTGACGTTCTCCAAGAATCCTTAATAATGGAATATATACTATATCCTTAGCCGATGCGCTGACTTGCTACAGTTGCAACACCGTGGCGGGATGTCGCAACCCCTCAACCCAAACGTGTAACAATGCGACTGCCAATGCCAATAGGGAATATCTGACCACGATTTACAACAATGTGCCCACAGTGAATGGCAGTTCGAGTTTCACTTGTGCCAATTCCACCTACTACTATCCCCAGAGTATGCATTTACTTGTTACATATTTAATCAAAGTATAACACTTTCTAATCAACGCAAAATTCCACTAGACAATACTCACACTTCCGAGTTCTTGGGCTGTGTCTTCCCTGCCACAAATATCTGCCAGCTGACATTGATTAACACTGCTAATCAGGATTCCTGGTCCCGGAGATGCATCACCTGCAACACCGACTACTGTAATCCGGCGGGAACCTTCAGCGGTAGCACCTATACCATCTTGGGATCTGCTATTGCCCTGCTCCTGGCCAAGATCCTTAGTTAGACGGCCAAATGTCTGTGAAAACAGTATTTAAAACAACTTTCAGTTGTAAATATTTAAATAAAAGTAATATTTCCCATTATCTATATTCAAAATGGAAACAGTTTGATTAGGGGTTTAAATTTTGTAGTGTCTGGTATAAGATTTTTATAATAAAGTACGTAAGAAATCACATTTGAACTATTCCCTTGTATCAAATTGTATTTTTGAAAGGAAGTAATTATGGGTTAAATAGTCATTATTAATCATAAAGTTCAAGTTCTTACTTCCTTTAATAAAACAAAGCAATTTCCGTATTGCTTTTATAGTTATTGAAGTCAAATGAATGGCTTGGAAGATTAATAAATCTGTATAAAGCTTGATGAGAGTAGTTTTTATCTTAATTTTATATATATATTTTTTAATTTTAATTTATTTTTAGAATATATTATTAGGTTTTACAAAATTACCCTATATGCATGCAATTTTTTATAAGAGGTTGTTTGATATAATTCTCGAGTTAAATTCTGATTAAGAAATATTTACTTATCGTTGAAATATTTTAAAATGAGTCAATGTTGCGCCTTTTGTTGATTAAATGGTTGCCAAAGCTTGGAAGCTTTGCAAAACAATTCAACTGAAAACTTCCCCTTTTCTCTTGCTATCAATATTACGTATACGCAGGGTGGATTGAGTTTATTAATATACTGAGGCTAGCATATTGATAAGGTATATATTAACGATGAGATAAGCACTAATCATGGAAAAAGGTCAGGTGTGAAATTGTCAACCTATGACTAGGCTCCGGATCTATTGGCTTGGTTTAAGTTAATTAATAGATATTGCCAAATGGTCTGCACAGAAGACTGTGATAATATGAAATACACAATTTTCATATTTAAAATTTCTTAAACCAACATCAAATATCTTAAATATTTATGACCATGTCTCGACCGATTCAATTGGAAAGGGGAAACCCTTTCAATGCCCCCATTGAAACATTTTCTCAATCTAATAAGGCTATAAAAGTGGTTATAATCTAATCTTTAAAAGCACTCGAGCTTATCTCAAGTTTCTTCTCCGTCAACTGTTGAGTGAGGTGCAAAAAATTAAGAGAATAACCTTATAAAAGAGTGGGTAACATGCCGAACTGGTTTAGTTTAAAGAAAAGAGGCTAATACCTAAGATCGTTTTACTCCTCTGTAACTTGTTAAAAAACGTAAATATCGCAAAATGAATACCAAGGCAGTGATTGTCAGTGTGCTGATTGCCTTTGTCTGTGTGCAGTTCGGTGAGTAATAGGTCAGATTACCTAATTTCAAAATTACTGAAGATATATTTCTTATATACCAAAGTCAACTCCCTGGTGTGCTACACCTGTGTCACACCAAAGGACTGCAAGAGTCCCAAGAAAGTCACCTGCACCAATGCGGCTGCCAATGAGACAAGCCACCACCTTGGAGTTTACCATCAGAATGTAAGAAACGTGACCAGCACACGTTTCGACTGCCTTGTCCTGAAGTACACCTACAGTGAGTAGTTTGAATATCTAATAAAAAGTGGCAAAGAAAATCTTCTAAAACTCATACCACTCTTCAGATAAAGAAGTGATCCATCAGCTCCATGGCTGCGTCCATCCGGCAGTTGGACCCTGCAGCCTGGCCCTGAAGCCGGCCTATGCTCACTACAATAAGACAACTTGTCTCACCTGCTCAGGTGATAAATGCAACAAGAGTCCTGCGGGAAAGATGAGCAGCAGCACTATGACCATTGCGGCTAGCGTATTGGGTCTCTTGCTGGTCAAGATCTATGCCTAAAAGACAAGGCTGTATTGATATAGAGATGAGCTAAGAACAAGGGATCCTCCGTTAATAAATTAATTCTTTTTATACATGTTTTTTGTACTCCTCTTGTGTGTTTCTTATCAAAATTGTTTGATTAGATTGACTTCTTGGACTTTCCATGCGTTCACGTTTTAATATTTCACAAGACGCTTATCAGTTTTTGATTAAAATTTATGATTGCTTTGATGTGTGGCTTAGCTAAGAGCTACTTACAACTGGTTAGAACTAAAAAGTTAATATAAGTTTCTGAGACTAGCTTTCATTAATAGTCATAAACTCATTTGAGCAGATGTTTAAACTTTGAAGTAATATAACATTTTCCATTTGCCTTCGTGAGAGTGCTTCCTCTATGTGGTTAAAAGATATTTACCGGCTTTATTGGTAGCCCGGAAATGATTTGGCCAATGCAAAGGCTGTCGCCTGTTTGAAGAGGAAACTCTCCACATTTCGGACTGTCACTTAAATTGGCAAACTATCCCAGGGAAGAGATGGCCCAAGTACAACAGGAAACATGAATAAATCTTTAATATTGTTGCTGGCCGCCTAAAAGGCTGCCACACTTTTGCATGCCGAACATCATCCGCTGGGCCGTGTTGTGTTGTGGAGCTGCAGTCGGGCATTTAATTGATTGATTGTTGCTCGTCTATGTCTGCATCGATTTGGCCAGTGCTTCACCCGTCCCGTCCCCCCTCTTGACTGTTTCATAACCAAATCGTAGGGCCATTCCCTACCTTTGGCGCCCAGCATCATCTCCTGTTCTGTTATCAAATCGACTTCGTGGGCTCTGTGCGCCATGTTGTTGCTGCTGCCAATTAGTGTTGGTGCGTCATCTGTGTGTACTGTGTGTGCGTGTGTGTGTGTGGGTGCAGTCATGTGTGTCCCAGAGTGTGTGTGCTTGCCATCAATTAATTTTTGTATTGTTGTAACCAAGCTTTTTTTCGGATTTCCGTTGCACTCGTTGGGTTACGTGGGGGAATCCCCTGTTGACTGATTGGTTTCTTTTCGATTCAATTGTTTTACGTGTGTGCAAGGGGAATAAGAATGGGAATGGATGTGTTTCCTAAACAAAGTTATGGTTATGGATTTGACTTCCGGAATGGGGGTGAACAATGCCATGCATAGGTGTTGCTTTACATTCAAACAAGGTTGTTACATATCTTAAAGATATAAGGATCTAACTGATTAATAAGTAATCTTACTTTTGTTCCATTTTCTTTATCATTCTTTTTTAAGTGTTTTTATCAACTTAAGCTTCACCTTTTATTTCATTCAAATACACTATCATTGATAGCTGAATTTCTTCTACTAAAAAGTATAAAAACCATATCCCCCACTTGTTTCTACAACCCCGAATTGCTCTGCTCCCCCGCCCTCAGTTTCGGAAACTTGCTTGAAACTCCCAGAAACTAAAATTAAGTTCAACTTCAACTACAAAATGTACATTTGATTTATGCATTGAGAGACCGTGGAGCAAATCCACCACCACCCAATGCCAGGACCTCACTCCTTGGGAAAAACGTAGACGGGAACCCTCTGATAACTAAGCCAAACCTATTCAACTTTCACGTTCGCATTGTTTGCACGAGCACGAAAAGTTATTAAGATGCATAGACGTGATTTTGCATGTTTTAAAAAAGAATACATAATGCCGCAGATGATGCTGGGTATAGGGGACAATATCAGAGGGGGGAGAGAAACTGGGATCTTGACTTGCACTTTAAGTACTCTTAATTTACTAAACAAATTTCCCAGCGCTACGACCCAAAATGTTGCATTCAAGAGGCCAAGAAAAGAGGCTCAAAAACTTACTAGAAAGCATCCCCCGAGAGAAGACAAACTCATTGACATGCCTGAGACACGAATTGAATTAAAAGTTTCGACTTTTCCGCGGAAATAGAATAACGAGAAGTTTCATTGTTTGGCTGAAGCTAAAAAAAGTTTGCCGCATTTAAATTGATTTGTAATTCGCGGTTAATTTCGTTTTTTTTACTCCCATTTCCATTGGTGGTTGGTCACTTTTATTCAAGTTAAAATTGTTAGTTTTTGTTCCCTTTTATCCATTTTATTAATATTGTAATTTGGCACGGAATGCCTGACAGTTATTTGACGTTGCAGTGAATGAATGTTGCAAATTAAATCTGTATTAAAATTTAAAATTGCCGCAAAATATCTGCGGTGTGGCGGCTAGGTGCTTTGTGAAGTTTTGGAATTTAAATCAAAGAAGGCTATTTGAATAATGATGCTGGAATGACATGCTGACATTAAAGGTTAAACAAATAATTGAACATTTTGCATAAATTTCGATTTCATTATTCACAGAATTATTAATAGGCACACATGAATTATTCACATTCTCATTAATTTTTGTATTCAAATATTCAAGAAATAATCTAAGTCCACTGCTCAGTTTAATTAGCATAAACAGCTTTGTGATTTAAAATCAATTACTTATTTTTTGACATTTTTATTTTGAATAATAAACATATGTGCAGAAACTCAAAGAACATTTTCAATATCAAAATATTTCTCTATTTATTCAGATTATGTTCACCTCACAAGCGACTCACAGTTCAATGGATTGTGTTCCCAAAAATCAGAACAAATTCTGAAAGCACACAAATAATAAATAAATAAATAAATAAAACACAAATAAATCAGTACGAACACTCACAATGTTTCTATTTTCCTTTAATAGATTTTATCCAAGTCACGGGAATAAATTTGCAGGCAGAAAATATTCACAACTGGTGAATTTATAATTTATGACAAGCAGCTAAATTGTAAGCCCCAAGAATTTGTAAATGAAAAGTGAAAATCTTGACTAAATTTCCATTTAATCTAGTCCACATTTTGCTGGCCACAAATTCTGTGAAACTGCTTGAAAATTATTATTTTAATATTAGACCAATACGTTTATCACATTGTGACAAAGTCTACAATAACGAGCTGAGGAAGGGTTGGCTTTTGGGGTTTTGTTGAGAGATTAGCAAAATGTCCTTGGTGTTGCTTCTGCTCCTTTTGGTTTTGGTTTTGGTTTCGGTTTTGGATTTGTTTGTAAGTCATTAGAAACATATTTGGCTTGTTGGTGATTTAACGATGACACAACAAACTTTATTATTATAGTAATGGTCTGGTGTGAGGGTAGAGCTAAAGATTTTCAAATTTTGTGTCAACTAAGCGTATGTTAAATAGTTGGAAGTTTCTTTGATGAGAAAGTCTTTTAGCCTTGGAAATAACTAATAGTGTGAAGCGTCTTAGAATTCTTTTAGGTTGATAAATAGTATGTAATTAACCTCTATAATTAATTCGTTTCAGAATAAAATGTAGAATCTTTTAATACTCATCGGTTTTGGATTATGAATTCAGATTAACTCTTTTAAGAGGGTTTTATATAAGCTATGTATTTACTAAGTTACTAAGTACTGAATTGTATTATAATTTGTATTACCTTGACTCGATTATAGCACAAAACTTAGCAGGATTTAATCCATGGGAATGAAGAATGGCTCACTGGCTCATCGCTCATAGCTCCCCCTGTTCTTCCCTCTGCATTCACTCTCTGCACAACTTGCAGAATTTATGCATGACAGCAGCATGACTTAATCCTTGCCGAGGCGCCAACGTGAGAAAGTGCGAGGGATTTTCCAGGGACAGGACTTTGGAGGGTGTCGTGTTTGTTATTAAGGAAACAATAGCTGCAGTCTTCGACTGCTTATGTTATTATTAACACCAAAATCCGAAACGATAAACAAAAACAGGAAGCCACATAATATAATTCAAAAGAGCAGTAGGTTGCATTTCAATTAGCTTGCAAATCCTCATAGTGCCACCTCTTAAGTAGAAAATCTATCATTATTTGCACAGTCCAAAGTGTCACTTTATACAATTATTGTTCTTCTCTTGTTTTTTTTCAGCATTTAAGCATATTAAAAGTGAAATGCAGGAAAAAATGAAAATATTAAGACACAGCGAGTGGGAAAAAGCGTTTTATTGGAGCCGACAATGAAAAATCGCTGCCGCATATGTTCGACAAAAACCTGACATTATTGACTGTTAATATCCTGGAAAACACAGACAGCACAATCGGGTTTTTTTGGCAGCGGAAGCTTGGATACCTTTACTTATATATCCTGTGAGTACATTTAATGCAAATTGTATATTGTTTAAAATATTTAGAGAACGTGGCAGGGGTTAAGCTGAGTTAAGTAATTACCAAGATTCAATTCAATTTCTATTTCCATATTTACTATATTTTTATAACAATGTTTAATATTTATTTTATTGCTTATATATTTCCTAAGCTTAAAAGGTATGTTTTAATATTTAAATAAATATATCTAATTTTACAATATTAATTAGAAAGTGTCCTTGACAGCTACACAAACACTTATTCACTCTACCCTCTTGTGTAGTGTATGTATAAATCGATCTGGGTGCAACATTTCAATAACTGAAACGCCAATTAAAATTGTACAATGGGTTCTCGGTCAGGCAGAGACTTCAAACAAAAAATGCAAAAAATAAAAAAAGGACATTTCGTGGGGCGGTGGGGAGCTGAAAAAATAACACTGGACGAATGTCAGTTAAACGAACAAACAGCAAAAAACAAACACAAGCAGACATCTGCATTGGCCATGGTTGACACCCAGCCACACTCCCTCCTCCACGCACACAGACCATCTCCATGGTGTGCATATATATCTATATGAATATGTGAGGGTAGCCGGGAAGGTCTCACACACGCGTACCGGCTCTCATATCCTCCGACCTGGCACATATCCTGTACGAAGCCGTTACGCGCCTGGTAATTGGTATTGTTTGCCTGAACGCGTGTCCACTCTCCGGAAATGGCCGTGATGCAATCGAAAATACAAAATGGGAGCCAATGCAGGGAAGGGGAGAATGCATAAACAAGCAACTAGCGACTATTAATTTTCAATCATAAGGATGCGTCAGGATGGAGAGCCAGCCGCACGGGGTACAGTTGTGCCGGGAAGTCAACAGAATGCCGGAAGTGCGGGTCAGCGTCCTGTCACTTTCCCTTTTCGGCGACAGCTGTC